GCCACCTGGACAGAGTGGGAGGGAAGACTGGTCTGCTGTGCAAAGCCAGTCACAGGATACTGAGCCTGGGCAGAGGTGTACATGGCTCTATCGTGGCCTGGAAGCAGGGGCCCTTCACTGGGCTGACTGAGGCTGGCCTGCACTGGCAAATCCTGTGAGGAGCCCTGCACAGCCAGGAACTCCTCCACACTCCTCTTCTTGGTAAAAGGAGCTCTGGCAAACACGTCCACCTCCTCTGTCTGGGAAGGAGCTATACTGCCCTTGGACACAAAAGGGGCTTTAGAGAAAATGTCCATGTCATCTGCTGGAACCAGGGAGCTCCTGAAGGGGGCGGTGGCAAAGACATCAGGCTCCCCGAGGCCATCTGAGGCTTGCTGGTTGATTGGCAAGAACTGGCTCTTTTTCCTGTCTTGTCCCCTTTTTTCTGGCCCAGCAGGCACTCCAGGCTCGGAGAACAGAGCGGCATGGCCCGGCTTGCCCTGGAGAGGCCTGCAGCTCTCGTCTTCCTCCTCAGACTCTAGAAGGAGAGGCCGGGAGCCGCTGCAGTCCAACACGTCTCCCTCCAGGTCAGTCCCTTCCTCCTCGCTGCTGTGGAAAGAGCTGTTGCTGGAAGGGCCCTCTTGGGCCAGAGAGTCAGACTCTAAAGTGTTTTGAGTCTTTGTGCCAGGAGCTCTGGATGGATCTGGATAGAGGGTGAGGCCCTTGGCACCCACGGATTCTTTAAAGTGCTCTACAGTAATTACAGGACAAGGACTGGGCTCTCCCTGGAGACCTAGAAAAGCATAAAATTTAGAATTAATGCGGATACTGTTTCAGAGCTTTTTGCAATATTTAATGGTTAACCGAGGCAGGTACATTGTGGAACCAAATGATAGATGAAAACGAAAAAACAGAAAAATAAAAAGTCAAGCAAGGTAAATGCACACAAACTGAAGACACAACCACCATCTCACATGTTGGATCATAGTAGACACAATGAGCAGGAAAGGTGGAAATGTTAGGCACACGGACATTCACGGCAACTAGGCAACACTCCTACTTGCAGACCAGGCACAGACACCTGCTCTACCTGCCTCAGAGGCAAATAAAAACAAGCCCAATCGCTCCTCTCCACATACATCAGACAGTGTGGGGCTGTGGAGAACCACTGCCTGGGGACAAGCTTAACCTGGCACCTGGCATGTGCTCTCCATGCCGAGGGGCACACACCCTGACAAGGAGAGTTCAGCTGCCAGGAAGTGAATGCTTACTTGACGACACTCTGCAAATGGTACAGAGCACGTGCTGCCCAATGCAAATACTGAGGGCACTTTCTGAGTCATACAGGATGACATCAGCTTTGGCTGGAGTTGCCCTAGAATTTTTTATTTTAAGAGTGCCAGGTTAGCAAAGATCTCTTTAATGAACCCGCCATTAAATTCTTTAAGCAGAACTACCAGCAAACTCCAGTGTACTAGCACAAAGGCTTGTGTAGGTAGAGGTGCCTCTGGGTGCTCTGGCCTTTAAATCAAATAGACAATTATCAGAATGCAATAGAGCTTACCTTCCAAGAAATATTAGCAGGTTAGAAGTATGTCATTGGGCACATGTTAGCAAGAGGGTAGGAAAAAGGCATATGTAACTAAGCAAGAAGAATCCAGAGAAAGGGTGGTTGGGGGTGAGGGACAACATATATTTCTTTATGGGCTCAGAAAAGAAATACCACCAGAATGTCCCAACCCACCAGCATATTAGCTACTGGCCATTGTCTCCCCATCTAGGCCCTCTCCCTTCGATGAATATCTTGCCAGACAGAAATTTCTGCTATACACTGCTGGCTATTAACATTGTTGCTTGAACTAAACACACAGAGGACAGAGGAAGGGGCTACAAAGTGGATTTATTGGTAAACCCGTCACTCAGAGAGAATTTACACTGTAGAGAACACAAAGGAAGGGGTGAACATTTTATTAAAAGGCACTATACAAAAATACTGTTTTTCTGAATCCTCTAACTTTTTTAAAGCAATGCTTCATTTTAATCAATTGACAGTAGGTAACTTTCAGGTCCCTTGTCACCCCATTTTTATTTCCTTTTCTAATACATAATAAACGTTAATCTGTATGGTATAGTGTGGCTTTTTTAATAATATTTGGAAAATGTGATTTTAAAAGAGGATAAACTTTTCCTCACATTGTAACTCTCCTGCATGCAGAAAACAGCAGGGAATAAAGACTTCCTGCTCCCTCACAGCGTATAGGACACAATCCTAATTTATCAGGCAAGAGAACTGAGATTAGATTTCGCTCACAGATACCCAGTTGACAATTTCTACGAGGGAAATAAATGAAGGGGGAAGGGGGAACCACTAACTTTAAAAATAAAACTCACCAAGAAATGTAAGAGGCCCCTAAGCGTCTACAGGCTACTTTCTCTTATATGTCAGCCTACCTATGAGCTCAGTCGACAAAATGAAGGTGCACTTCATCTCCTTTCCAAACTACCTGAATGTTGGTGCTTCTAAACTGGCTCTGCAGCACAGCAAAGTATCCTTTAGCACAGAGAGATAGAAGGTTGAGTTGAGCCAGTGACTAATCCTAATACTGTATAAACTGTTCAACAAATGACAGTTTTCATTTCAGTTAGTGATTTAAGGGAACTAAGACGGATTCATTGAAACTATGTCATGTATAGACCGCAAGAGGCACTGATGAACCAGGACACCAGGGCCTGATACCTTCAATGCTAGATTACATCCAGAGACCTGTGGGACAGCAAGGGTAGAAGCCCTCATCCACAATGGGACATGAAGAACATGCCCACTCCACGTGGACTACTCTCTCAAGTAGCAAGCTTTGAGTCAGGAATCAGGAGAAAAAAACAGCAACTGCTTTGACTTTTGAAGTGAATAATAAGATACTTTATAGTAAGATACTCTATATTTAAAATAGCAACAGCTTTAAAAATCTCAGAATTGGCTGAGTGTAGTGTTTCACACCTTTAATCCCAGCACTCTCAAAGTCAAGGCAGATGGATCTCCATGAGTTCGAGACCAGTCTGATCTACATAGCGAGTTCCAGGACAGCCAGCCAAGGCTATGTAGGAGAAAGCTTGTCTAAAAAAAAAAAAAAAAAAAAAAAAAAGTTTAGAGCCACAAAACACCATAGCATCAAGACTGAAGGGAAAACCAATCTCTCATTAAGATCACAGCTATTTCCTCTAACTCAATGACTGGAAAGTGTCTCTAAAGGGGCTCTCCTGAAAAGCCTATCTCTCAACCTTTCTTGCAGATGCAGTGTGTTTGAGGCAGAATGACTAGGCCTAGCACTTTGCGTGCCTGCACACCAGAAGAGAACACCAGATCTCATTATAGATGGTTATGAGCCACCATGTGCTTGCTGGAAATTAAACCCAGGACCTCTGAAGAGCAGCCAGTGTTCTTCACCTCTGAGCCATCACTCCAGCCCACCAGGCCTAGTACTTTGAAATATTCCAGGATATAGTAAACCTAGATCTCTGTGTGACCCCCGGGGGCCTGGTGGCGGTAGCACAGGAAACAAGGGAGTTCAGGGAAAGTCACAGGAAATCTTCCTGACAGTTGAAGGTTTTGCTGTTGCTCACGTTAGTGTGGGAAGGTGCTTTTACAAGTATTTGTAGAGTGAACAGCCCTTGTAGTGGAAAAGGCCTTGAGCCACTGGCAGACTACCTCTGAAGGAGCCTGCCTCCTAGGGAGGAAGAATCCACCCAGTTTACCCTCATGCCATGGTTAAATTCTTTTGCTTACCAATGACAGCCACAGCAGATATCTTGTAACCAAAGAACAAAACAAAAATTCTAGCCTGTTCTCCTAGCCTAGGACCAGGTCTCAATGTGTATAAGGCTTTTGTTCATTACGAGGCATTCTCTTATCATTCCGTCAAGCTGGGTCTTATCTCTTTTTGTTTTCAAAACTTCTAGAAATAGCTCCACCTGGCTCCACTCTGAGGCTCTAAGTCCCACAGATTTCAGTATGACTCACCCCTTCACCATGCCCCACACTATCCCCGAGGTCGAAGTGCAGCCCTCGTGGGAATGGCTGACCCGGGAATGCTGTCTGATTGACGGTGAGGTAACCAGAGTGCTCTCTAAAGAAGCAAAATCTAAGATTAAAAAAATGCTACTGCTGTGTGCGTGCACACAAGTATGTGGCAGAGTGCTCAGGCAGAGGACACAGGACAGTTTGCACAAGTCAGTTCTCTCCTTCCACGCCATGAGCTCTAACTCAGGCCATCAGGCTTGGGATCGGCGCTTCTACCTAAGAAGTCATCTGGCTGGCCCCAAATCTGAGATTGAAATATCAGGCTGGCTACTCTTTAGTGTGTGTCAGAATTGTACTGTCTCTACACTATAACTGAAATAATGATGACAGGGAACATCAATGACAAATTCTTGCCAAAGTCTAAAGAAATGGCCTCGGTGTCTCATATAGTCATAGATTAAAAAGCAAAATATCCCAATAAGATGTGTGCTATCAGCTGAAATTTGTTGTCTCAGGAACCACAAGCTGAGTAGCCTGTAGTTCCCAGCACCTTTGCTGTGCAGCATGGCAGCAGCTGGAACGCCCACAGCTAGATGACAGGAGCAATTAAGGAGCGCTATTGCTCACTGGGCATAAATATGTTCTTGCCATCCCAGTGTTTAATTTAATTGGCCTGGATATGTTAAAGACTAACTTAGAGGAGGGCAGCTGCTAACTGGTGCCATCTTATCACCTAACTACGGTCCTGGCTAATTTGTGTTTGTAGGTCTCTCGTTCTTGAACATAACAGGCCTTCATTCTCCAGGGTGGTCATAACTCACTAAGCCTCAGAAAATCCCACAGGGGTACACTCACCTAACCTTCCTCAGGACATCTTGCACCGCTGTTCACACTTCTCTTGTACACTAGTATTTGCAACCACTAAATAATGTGTTCAAGTCCTTTCTGCAGAAATATAACAGCTACCTAAAACTATTATACATCTAAACATCATGCGCTTGTTTGAACAGATAAAAGCTTTATTCCTCTGTATGTTTACATAAGAAATTTGTTTACAGACTTATTTATACAATACTTGCGAAGCAGTATTCATTTTTCACATTTTACCACACAAGATAGCTTCATTACATCACTTTGCTTTGCTTCCCTGAGGAAGACAAGTTAAAGACCTAAAGTAAGAATCCATCCAAGGTGACAAAGGCATGTACCAACAGGGCAGAGGAGAATACCCACAGACAGTGAATCCAGGACACTGCATCAAAGTGAGACCCAAGGAAAGGCTTCTCCCTGACCAACTGTCAACCCTGTGGGAACTCTGCATGAGTTAGCATTACCCAAGTAGCCTACAGGCCTCACCCCTCCCCCATAGAGAAAGGAAACCCAGGGGGAAACTACATAGGATATCTTGTTACAGACTTTGAAATGGAGGCCACCTGGGACTCATTCAGTTTACAAAAGCCAAGTACATTCAACTTGGGGAACATTATCATCACAGAAAGGAAGGGTCTAATTTTGCACTGGTAAAATTAGTCTCTAGAGAGGGATATAAATTAGTTTGCAGTATCTTAAGTGTCCCGCTAAACACTCCACACTAAACCTTATGTCAGGCAGCTCTGATTGCTTAACTCAGTGTTCTGGGTCATTCCCCAAACTCCATGTCAGTGGCAAGAGACTGGGTCATCTTGCAGACCAGGAAGCTTTAAGACTCTTGCATGCCAGAGAAACTTTGTCACAGGGATTTTAGCTTGTCTACAGTATCCATTTGTTCAGCTGAGCATGGACTACCATTCCCATCTCAAAAGTCCCCTCATTCCCACAGCCTTGCTGAAGACAGAACTAATCCTGACCTGGGGGGAAGGCTGTGTTGGTTTGACTCAGAACAAACATTTATCATGAGGAGCATGGGAAATGAAAACTGCAAACCACAAAAATCTCAAAAAAACAAATAAAAACAGATTACCTTTTGGATTTTTTTCTTTCAATTATTAGTAATAGAAGTTCTAGAATTCATATCTGATCAGGAAGAGCCAAGTCCAATATGAAATGCCAATGAGCAGAGTGACAATCTCTTTCACAGGAGTTTAAAAACCTGTTACCTTTATTTAAGTCTTGAAGACTTAAATAATCTTTAAGTCTTCCCTTACTTAGAGTGGTGCTGAAATCCCTTTTGGCTGAGGTCTTCTCTAGAAATTGCCTGTGAAGTTTCAATGTTTTCAGTGATAACTGCTCTTCATCTATCAGTGGTTTTGCTTTTTGGAATAGCTCAGTGTTATTCAGAGGCAGAGGTGTTGGGGAAAACAGATAAGAAAAAAGATGCTGTTAAGTTAGGCTACTAAGAAAAATGCAGCCATGTTCATGCTACCTTATCTGGTGATGCTTTGTCTAGGAACAAGAGTTTCAACAACTCTGATGGAACTGGCCTGCCTTGTTAGGGTCAGCACTTACTTCCCAAGCAAAATCAGATGCTTCCAAAGGGAACATTCAATCACATTAAACATTTCTGATATGCTTATTTCAGAAATCATTTTAATAATTATAATAGTACTTAGAGTGACTATTTATACCTCATCTTCTCTGAAGACCATATTTTTAGAAACTTCAGGAATTAGATTTGGTTTTCTGGGGTGGAGAAATACCAATTTGTGATACACTTTCTGGTATACTAATTACTTCCAATCAGCAGAGAGGAGGTCAAATAAAAAATGTGCACAATGTATTTGTCCATATTTTAACAGCAAATCCCTGATTATATAGATTAAAATAATAAAAATATTCTGTTTTACTGCAATAGGTAAGGTTGTGTGTGCTTAATATTACAGAAGGAAAAATCTATTTCCAAGCTTTTGTTGTGGGCTTTTATTCGGGTAATTCAAATAGCAACAAGGTTAGTAATTGCTCAGTCTACTCCTCTGTGAGTAAAGGCTGATGAAAACTGTAGGAATGGCAAGAGCACAGAAGCTACCAGAAGGACATCTGGATTATATGATCCTTCATAGTCCTTCTAAACACAGCATAATGATGCTATGTTTCTGTCTCTGATAGCACCTATCTAAACTCATTCTGTGTTAAAAGCCATCAGTAGCTCTGGGAACTAAAATGCCTGTTCAAGGTCATAAGCCAGGATCTAGCTTTGGTCCCAGAAGCCTGAGTTTCCCCTGCCCATTCTCTCACCAGCCTGCCTTCATCAGCTCATGCCCACACAGGTAAGACAAAAGAAACGGGCCAGCAGACAGTCACACAGCCCCCCTTATAGTTCAGACTTGCTCCATGCGTCTCCAGCTACCACACACTATGCTCTTCTCAAGTCACTTGCTCAGCTTAGGGTTAGAACAATCTAAGGAAGGCTGTACCGACCAAGTCACCAGAATGTATTCCTCAACAGAAAAATAGCTCTGCTCGCCAATGCCTTACTCCTGAAGAATCAGTCCAGGTCTCTTGCTATCTCACCCAGGCATTACCATCTTCCTTGGCAAGAGTCTGTTAATTTTCATTAGTGTCTCCATTAAACCTTATTGAGCCAATGACTAGACAATATATCTCAATGTAATTATGGGTGACACACGAAAGAACATTTTAGAGACACTTAACCTAATTTCTAGGCTGCACCCTTCATTGCTGTAATTAAACTGAGAAAGTAAACACTTCATTATATTGCTACAGTTTGCATGAGAAAAAAAAAACAAATATGAAAACACAGACCTAAACCATTATCCTTATTTAAAAATAAACATTTCCTTCATTAGTTTATACATTCTTTCTACGTCCGATAAAGAGGACACAACCATTTCCTGTCCACCACGGGGTTAGCCAAGTCCTGCTTCCCTGCAGCCCACTTGTGGAAAGCTCTTCGTGATATCTCCATCCTTGCTGCACACCATGCCTCGCTCACTTGTGGAAACCATTTCTTCTAGCAGAGGTCTTTCCTCAGCTCATCTAGGTCAGCTGGCACAGGAAGTATTTAAAGTCAGAAGGAAGAAGGAAGACCGAGTGTCCACTCTTCCTGCTGTCACATTGCTGGAGACAACGGCGGCCCTCCAGAGGGCAGTGTTTGCAGGCTCGTGTTGCTGCTGGTTCCCCACCACTTAAAGTGCAACGTGAGCAAGAACAATCAAAGTAGCAGAGAACAAGCCAACAGAGGTGGGATTTTATTTGTACAGATCTGATGAACTCAGAGTTTCCCTTCCAACCCTGGAGGATGGCACTTGAGGAAGGGGTTCTCTGTGCCCACTCCTCTTCTAAAGGGTGATTTTACAAAAGTGCTCCCCACATAAGGAAATGAAACACACCTTGATGAATAAGTACACAGGGTGACAGGGGCATGTTGTAGGGCGACTGCAGGCCTTTATTTAACCATGGACAGTAGTCTAAGGTTGGTGAAGAGCTACTCTGCTTGGTCTCTTAAGTCTAGGAAGCCAAGGGAAGCTACTGCACACATTCCGTCAGCTTCAGCCTTTAACTTAATACCAGAGAGAAGGTAAGCAGCCACAGTCAAACTGTGCCCAGCACACTTACTTCTGATTATCTGAAAATAAACAACATGCTTGGTTCTACAGAGACAGAGGCCCGCTGAAAGCTTAGAGCAAGACATACACTCTACTTAAATAATTCCATGTGTTACACTGTAGGAATGCTATGTGGTTATACAAGGGAAAGAGATCAAAACCCTGTACAGACACCTGATGCCAGACTTGAAATGCCAAGTGGAAACGGAACTATTCAGCATCTTCATTTATACACAATTTACAATATTTGATTCAAAATAAAAAAATCACAAGAAAAATACATCTGTTCTGCTACAATTCCTTCCCTTCCCCATCCACCCCCCATGAAAAGTCTTCTAGTAAAAGGTATTATGTTCCCAGCACTGTCTTGTTTTGGTCTAATTCTGAGATCCCACCTTGAGCCAGGTACCACAGAGGGATGGCAATGCTTGGTATTTATATCACATACACATTTATTCAAGGATCTCAAGCACTTGCAGACACACCTCCAGATTTGAAAAATCGCGATTCAGTGGAAGCCAGATAGCTAGACAAACGCTGGGAAGGTTGCATGGGCATAAGATCCCTTGGCTCATTCTATTACCAAACAAGGTCAAAGTTGGCTGGCGAGAGCTGAGCCCAATTTCTCTTCACAAACACATCCTATTAGTTTTGGCCTGTCTCCAGACTTCTGCCTGGATGTAAGGCCAGCCATAGCTACCATGCCCTCATGATACTGCATCAAGATAAAAAGCAAGAATGGACACACATTCATCAGCATCTGGAGACAGGCTATAGGACTGACATGGGGGCCATTCCTAGCAAGAATGAGACAATGTGTCCATCACAGGCTCAGTGACAGTCAAGCTTCTGTGAGTGGATTCCAGCAGAGGTGAAGCTCAGGGCAGTTAGCACTTGAGTTAAGATAATGCTATTGAAGATGGGGAATGAGGAAACACAGCAAACTAACGAGAGGCGCTGGCCAAGGAACGGATCTGGAGGGTCAGAGATTTTTCGTTCCTTAACATTTCTATAGGAGAAGGCAAGGGGTAGGAGAAAGGGGCTCGAGGGCCCCTTATTTGCAGATTAAAAAAAAATCATTTTTCTCATAACTCCGTAATGAAAATGTGTATTACGGCATGAAGGTTACAGAACTGCGTCTGCTACTGGCTCACGGCTACAGGTCTATGAGCTGATCCACCAGCAGCAAAGACCTGGCTAGGTTGGGAAGACTGGACTCAGAGCTCCCACTGCTGTTTCTAGAGTGCCCACCTGGAAGTGGAAAGATAGGATTCAGTACAAAACACAGAGGGTTAGGGTTAGATGTGCAAAGAAAGCAAAGGAGAAAAGAAAACCAAAGAAACCCAGAGAAGCAACATTCCACATTTAGAAAGTCTGACGTGTTGATTTCTAAATATAACCACTGGCTAGCCACCCCCCCCCCCACCGACTGTTCACTCCATGCACACCACAGCAGAGGCAGGACACTGCAGAGATGCTGTTGCTTCCAAACCAATACGTTTGCCTAAGAAGTTTTGGCTGTCCACTAACCTCCTACCAACAGAAAGCCATCCCTCCCAAAGTAAAATTTAATTTTACTTTGGGGAAAATTAGTTATTAGGATATTACAACAACATGCTTTAAAAAAATAGGTGGTGTGTTTTGGTGTTTTGTGCATGCTCACCTGATTCAACCTACCAGAGAAGAAAAGAGATGTTCCACAATGTCTACAGGTGCAGCAGACACCAAAATATCACCGTTAGCTCTCTGGTAAGAATCTACATCTACTGCAGATTTTCTAATTATGAAAAAAATGTTCAACACTTCTGACATACACCTTCAGGATTCTAACAACGAGAGAGCAGTTTCTTTTTGGCTTGATTTTTCATAAAAACTAACTCTTCTCTAAATAAACCCAAGTCAGCTCAGCATCTCCAGCTGCCTCACGTGTTGGTCCAGCCTACACTGACTGCCATCATCCAGTGTCCTTCACCAAATGGTGACGCTCCCATCCACCATGCAGGCTAGGGACAATTGCTCTGATGAGAACTGATGTCAAGCTCTTCTCTTTTCTCCAGCCTCTTTCTTACCTTGTGTGTTTTTGGTTATCAGTACAGGAATAGGATCAAACTCATCTTCTGCCACCTTTTCCGAGCCCTCAGCAACACCAAAACCTGAGATGAGATTACTATCTTCTGCAGCTTAATACAGAATGCAAGCACACAAGCAGAAACAATAGAGGAAGAGGTTAGCAAATGAGAGAACAGAAAGGAGGCACCAAACCTTCAACTTCGAGCAATCACTATTCTTAAAGGTAAAAACACTTCTTTTTCTTACTTGAAATAAAAAACAAAAATCTGGAAACTACAGGTATACAGAAGTAAAAACCTTTAGAATTTACAATGTTAAGATTTCATAAATGATTTAGAAACACGTTATTAGAAAAATTCTCTACTGAGAATTTCTCTCTTGTAAAGTATCTCTGCAATGTCACTATCCTTATTGAGTCAACAGAGGCCTGGCTAACAACACTTGAAACACTCAAGCCTAGGGCAACAGATGAGAGAGGAGCAACCATGTAGAGGCTGGGGCACAGTTCCATGGCAAGTGTGTGTGTGTGTGTGTGTGTGTGTGTGCGCGCAAGTTTAAGGTCCTGAATTTGACCCCAGGACCCAAAATGAACAACAGAAGAGAAGTAACCAAAATATAAAAGGCAAGCAAAATGCCAAGACTCTCAGCTCTGTGAGGAGACTCAGAATACTGGGCTACAAAAGCATACACACTGAGACCACCAGCACAAGTTTCTTAGACTACCTGCTCCTCCATTTTGTCTTTTTTTAAATTTGCTTTGTGTGTGTTTGTTTCTAAGGCAAGGTGTCATTATGTAGCCCCAATTGCCTGAGGCTCACAGAAATCAGCCTGTGCTCATCTCCCTGGGATTAACAAATACACCTCCACATACAGCATCTTCTCTACTCTAATTAAAGCTGCCCCCAGCAAATGTTAGCTGAACACTATTGGGCAGGTTCCCTGTGGTTACACATTGATACCAACACATCCCTGCCAGTCATCAGTGTCTACACTGTGCCAGCTGTAAACCAAAACCAGCTATTATCACTGTGACCTATGAGCTCATTGTTTTTAGTTATCTCTGGAGGCTTCCTTCTTGAACTTCCTTTGAAAAGGGCTTAACTTGTTCATTTTCTAATACTTTTCAAACAGAAATAAGCTTACTGTGTGCAAGCAATCTATCATCATGACTGACCCCAGAACCCAACCCAAGCTAGTCAGCTTGCAAAATCTCAAACCAAAGCCAAATCTAAGAAGTGAAAATGGCAGGTTAGAGGGAGAAACCCAGTATTCAATTATGACACATTTTTTTCTTTTTCTTTTTATTTTTTCCAGAGCAGAGGCCTGAACCCAGGGCCTTGCGCTGCTAGGCAAGCGTTCTACCACTGAGCTAAATCCCCAACCCCCAATTATGACTCAAAGGTGATGTAATAGCAAAATTTTCACAAGGTCAATTTTGAGGAATGTGTTTTGACACTCAAAAACCTTGAATCAGATTTGATGAAATGACTTGACTTTGTTTTGTTCTCTGTGTAGCCTTGGCTCTCCTGGAACTACCAGCTCTGTAGACTAGTCTGCCCTCAAACTCACAGAGATCCACCTGCCCCTGCCTCCCACGTGCTGGGATTAAAGACATATGCCCACCACATCCTGGCTACAACTTCACTTTCTAAGGCCAATCAGTCAGCTGGCTCACCTGTGTATGTGGTTGGCCCTCAAGGCATGAGGCTTCCAAAAGTAGCACGGAATATCTGTTTCCCAGTTCTTGTCAAAGACTGAATCCTGCACCTATCTGTAGTTGCTGGGGTTTATTAACTACTCTGAGAAGAACTGTAACAGTGTCTAAGAACACAAACCCATATTTTCCATAGAAATGGACAGTTTGAACACTTTACTAACAAAGACTTTTGATAAGGAGAACCACCCAGGAGCTGTTCAGCTCTTCTGCTCAGGGAGACACGTGGGTCCAAGAAGAAAAGACTTTACCTCTGTGAGTGGGAGCAGAGCGTGCTATGGGGGAAAACTCTTCCAGAAGGTCAGCAGTGGGGTTAGAAAGCAGAGAACAGTCAAGCAGAGAGTCTTCCCCAGTGAGAGAGTCTGAGTCCAGTCGCCAGCATCCCAGGCAACGATGGCATTAAACAGCATACAACAATATTGTGAGGTTATATCTTGACTTTTAAATGATTGCATTTACAGGCCATATATACAAGCCAAGGCGCAGAAGGAAAATCAAAAGAAACACATTAAGCTCTCTGAACTTCCAACCACAAAACATGTATCCTGGATTCTACTTGGCAGAAACAATAAACATAAGATTCTTAGCTCAGAAACTGCTGGTTAAACATCTGTGATTGAAATGTTAATGTTAAACTTAACGACCCAGTTCTCAGCAAACACAATTTGGAAGAAGGGCTTTGTAACTAGTTTCACTTAACTTCTCCCCACTCAGGAAGAAAGTTACTACTTATTGAAGAGCTAAAATTGTTCAGGAAGAAAGCTTCCTGACCCTCCCTGGTTCCTATTCAAAATATCTATTACAATTATTCTTTAAATTTGAGTTCTCCTTTGAACAATGTTATTCTTTCATGTAAAGAATTGGGGAAAGTAAATTTCAGCGATGAAGCACTTGAGCAAGCAGAGTTTCCTGGGAGAAAACATCCAGGTGAGGAAAACCAAGAGGAACCTGTGCCTTTGGTTTTATTAGTTTATTAGTTTATTACACACCTAAGGCCCACAAACCAGACAACCTTATCAGATAATTAGGACTCTCACTAAGATGGATCCAGGCAGCTTTGTTTGTATGAAGCTAAGGCTTGTACAAGACTGAAATTTTCAAATCAGGGCGAGAGCAATACTGGATCCAAGGACAATTTCAATTTTTCCTACAAGTTTAATGGCAAATCATCTCTAAATGATGAAGCCCTGATCTGGAAAAGAATTATCAACAGGCAGGAGCTCCATAGATCCAGATATCAGTAGGACTGTGTAGGGCGTGGTGGAGGCCATGTCTGCTTAGCAGCTGGAAGGGTTAAGGCAGCCATTTACCCGAGCAGACTTCTGTTAAGGAGGCAGAGGGAACCTGCCACCGTGAAGAGAATCTTTTATTTCCTTCTAATATTGGGGATTGACTGCACCTAGGACTTCATGCATTCTGTCACTGAGCTATATTCCCAGCCCTGGGAAAAGAACACCGAATAACAAAATTCTATAATCAGGGCAAGCCAAGGAGTCACACTTAAGAAAAACACGGCTCCAAAAAGTACTCAGTTCTTTAGCACAAGGACACACTTAACATTTAGAAGCCAGACTTTAAGAACAATTCACAGCATCCGTTGTAAAGCCAACCAAAACGCAAAAAAAAAAAAAAAAAAAAAAAAAAGGAAAACCGAGGCTCATCTGCCACTGGTAGGAAGCCCTACTCTGAGGCTCCTGATCTGACCAATTCTGCCGCTACATGGACCATGACTGACCTGTGCGGTTCGAGGTCACAGACTCCGTCTGAGATGGGAGGCGCTGGGCAACAGGAGGCTCCAGTCCAGGTATGAGACTGTCAACAGCAACATCGGCCTTTTCTTTTGTACCAGGGCATTAACAGTAGAAAGGAGAGGATAAGAGAAGGAAGAAGTCAGAGGCTGCTCAGGAAAACCTGTGAAGGCTTGCTTCCACAGATCTCAGGCAAGCTACAAAGCATAGCCTATGACCTTATTTCTGCTGCTGCCTGGGCTTCAATGATTGAGCATGCACATTCAAGGCTAACCATTGGGAAGATACACTGATCACCAGCTTCTACAAGTAAGTGTGGGATACAAGCTAATTTAAAGCAACAAATCCTTCCAGCTCAGAAAAGATTGGCTTCAAGACAGGTAAGAGTGGCTCATATCTGTAATCCAACAACTAGAGAGGCTGAGACAGGAGGATTGCTATGAATTTGAGGCCAGCCTGGCTATGCATGGTGATGCCCTAATTCAAAAAGCCAACAATGATCAAAACAGTTCATTCATCATTAGTTTGGGCAATTCTCTCCCCACCTTAATGGAACAGACGTGGGGTAAACATCCTCCAATCTAACACACAATCCTCAAATTGGCCCCCACCTACCCTTGATGTGGCGGGGGGGGGGGGGCTCTGCACATCATGATGTCTCACAGTTGGAGGGCTATCTTTCTGTGAGGTGATAGCGTTCCTGAGTGCTAGCACTTCTTGTCTAAAGTCTAATGACTGAACCCTCCAAGAGTTCAGACAACTTCGCTTACACAGTATAAAAAGTATACCTAAGTAAGTACATCAAGACCCTGCCCTGGACCACCAGGCAGACTTCCTGGTATTTGTTACATGCATTGACCTTCTAAGGAAGAATAAGCTCAAGTCTATTAAGTTCAGTGATGTTCCTAGGACCAGTTAGAAACCACCTGTTTCACGAGGTTTTCTTTTTGCACATTCATCCTTATTCATAACAAATTTACTGAAGAAATCACAGAACATCACTAAACACCAGAGTTACAGGTTGTGACATGGAAAGCCAAAAAAGCCGTTTCATTTAGAATACCAGGAGCAGAGTAACAGCCTTGCCTGCTGGATTCCCACCATGAACGGAGCTACAGAGGTCTCAGGGCACTTCTGCCCTCTACCCCATCCCCATGCCAGAGCTTACCTCACCCCACCCCCCATCACAGGCATGAATGAAGAAACAGACAGTGATTTTACCAATCACAGCATCGGAAGTGCTGCCGAAAGGATCTGTCATAGGCAAGAGATCAGGGAGCAGAAGAGAAGTATCAGGAGATTTGAGTCCCTCGATTAGTTTTTCTAGGTTGGGAGAGAGGTAAAGAAAAGGCAAAATGCAATGAAATCACAAAGCAAGTGGATCACTTACTGCTTTCCATGAACACACAGCTTAGGGGTCCTCACTTTAAAGATTCACCGTGAAAACAAAGACCATTATTATCTTGTTAACAATATCCTTTTCCAGAGCCAGCAAGTTGGTTCAGTGGGTAAAGGTGTCTCCCACCACTCATGAAACACTGAGTTCAATTCCAGGGACCTACCCAGTGGAAGGAGAGAACAAATTCCTACAAGAGATCCTCTGACTTCCACATATACACTCATACATACAACACAAAATAAGTAAACCAATAAATGTAATTTTAAAAATTATGCCCCCAGAACTTTCCAAAATGAGGTTTAAAAGCTATTTCCCAGGTGAAGCGGAACTCAAAGTTCACAAAAGGTGAGATCATTGGGTCTGCTTATCCCTTGTTTTTATTTGAAGAATAACTTATATAATAACCACCACCAATTTTATTATTATTATTATTATTATTATTATTATTATTATTATTTTGGTTTTCAAGACAGGGTTTCTCTGTGTAGCCTTGGCTGTCTTTGTAGACCAGGCTGGCCAAGAACTCACAGAGATTCACCTGCCTCTGCCTCCCCGAGTGCAGGGATTATGGGCATAATGCCACGCCCTGCTACCATCACCAGTTTTAAATGTGTGCAACTTGGTGAATGTTGACAACGTATACACTCATGTACTCAGCACTAAATAATATAGACTATTTCTAACACTTTCAAATGCCTGTACCACCTACAGTAAATGCTTTCTTTTCAGCACACGCACTGGCAACAATAAGCCTGCTTTTTGTCTAGATTCCCAACCCTGCCCCCTTCCTCTTAAAAATACACAGTCACATATAACCTAGGCTGGCCTTAAACTCCCTATGTAGCCAATCATGACACTGAACTTCTAATCCTCCTGCCTCTACCTTGTTAGTACTGGGATTATAGGCATTATATGTCAATGAACACTGAACCCAGAACCTTGAACATGCTAAGCAGGCACTCTCTCAAGTGAGCTAATTTCTAAGTTTCAGATTTCCATTTTATTTTATTTTTATTGTTGTTGTTATTGTTTAGTTGATTTTCTGATCTGAAAATAGAACCATGCAACCTCACTCAGTTGGAATTCCCTCTCTCCCTCTCTTGGTTTTTCAAGACAGGATTTCTCTGTGTAGACTTGGCTATCCTGACTCACTTTGTAGACCAGGCTGGCCTCAAACTCACAGAGATCTGTGGAATTCCTTTCCTTAGCACAAAACTTGAGTCTTCTATGTTGCAGCCTACCACTTGTTTCACAGTGTGGATGTGCCAATGTTGACCCAGTTTCCAGGTGACAGACATGTTTGGCTTTTCTATTACTCCTCTGCTATATTTACACAGGTATGTATTCACTGCCCTTACTGGACTTACTTTTCAACCTATTTTTATTTAAATTTTCACTTAGAAACAGCTTATACTTTATCAACAAAACCAAACCAATTTAGCCTCGGGTGAGACACCTTCCACACTTTGCTGCTGCCTGCCCACTGTGCACCTCAAACACGCAGGAACTCTGACTTATCTGTGGTTATGGAACAAGTATTTGGAAACTCTTCACTTGAATATTTAAAAGCCCAGCATCTTTGCTTTCATTTTGCTTCTATTTTATTTTGGGTCAGAGTCTTCTCAGCTCTGAACACAAGCTACTACTAATCACTGAATGAGTGTCCATCTAAAATTAGTGAGACAAGGCTGATTAGCCCTAAATTTCTTCAATTTACCTAACCTACCTCATCCTACTTCAGAGCTACAAAGACATAACAGTAGCTAAGGTGTTTTAACGTCAACTTTTTCAAAGTCCTGTTCAAATCCCTGAAAAAACCTCTAGAATTCTCCATCCATTGTCCTGAACCTGTAGTTCCTGTGGATTCCAGAAACAGATCACCCCATGCTGAGATCACTCCTAAATGGGAGCAGTTACCCCATAACTGAGGCTCTCCCTCTCCCCAAATCATTTCATGGGTACCAGATTGCCCCCCAGGTACTATAGACAGTGAGCAGCCTGACTGCAGCCTGGCCAAACTTTAGCTAGACACATTCTTACCCCACTCTACTGTTTCCTGCCTGAACCTAAGGTTCACATCAATGTCTTGAAGCTGGGCTGCGAAATTCAACCTTCACCTCCCAGAAAGGCCCCAGTCACTAAAATCCCTTCCTGCCTTTCACTACTACTTTTGTTTGTCTTTTTAGGGGTGAGTGGCAGGACCTAATTTCTTGGGGACACCCTCCACTACCCATCCTCATCAGACCTCTGGCCTAATATTCTGGTTACAGCTTTATTTCAGGAGATTCATTTAAGCCTGAAAATGGGTTACTGCTAACATATGGAGCAGAGAAATAAAAAGATGTCAGAATCCACATTTGCCACCCTGGATAACTTAAAGTATGACAATATACACACATCAAGACAACTTTAGCTACTCCTTTAGCCCTGAGACACCAATAGCCCTCTATTTATCTTCAACCTACTAAAGGTGGAACATTAACCTGAAACCAAGTAACAGGTCACAGGAAGAAGGGAATTTAGAGTCTACATATCTATTACAGGAAGATTAAGGCCACATAAACTCAGACTTACTCAGAGAAACTAAAATTAAAATGTTTGTTTGAGAAAAAGGAAACTGCTTAAAGTTCAAGTACACACATAAAACATTTTATTGGATTCACAGTGTTCTAGGCTGTTGGAAATTGACGGAAGCAATAAACAGACAGACATTGACTACAAACAGGAATCAACTTCAGACACCATGATTGAGGTGCTAACCCTGCTCCATTCAAGCAGAAGAATCCACTTCAGAGGTACATCAAGATGATGACTACATGGCAGAAAAAAAAGCCTTTAAAAAATGTCAAGTAGATCTATGTTTTAGGGAAGGAAGAACACAGATATCTCTGAATTACATGACAATGTATTACATTTCTTGTTCAAACCTGATTAGAGAATGAGACATGAACGTCTTGAAAGCACGGGATGTGAAAAACACAGAAAACTAACAAAGATCAAAGGCACCATCATCATTCTTGTACTGTTCAAAGCATCTTATTTTAGAAAGTAATATTGAAAATATAATACTGGTTAAAACAGGTTTGTTTTTTTTTTTCAGAAAAAAATTTGCATTTCTTTTCTAAACACTAGTTAGGGTTTATACCTACTTCCCCCTCCCCTCCCTGAAAAAAAAAAAAAAACAAAAACCCTTCCATTTTAAAAAAAATGTCATTTGGGCCAGTAAGAAGGCTCAGGGGGTAAAGGCACCTGCCTTCTGGTGATGACAAGCCACATGGTGGAAGGAGAGAACTGACTCCTTAAGTTGTTCTCTGACCTTCACTTAAGCACCATGGCATATGTGCTGTCAACCCCCACTCAAACTCCAGAAAGCATATTTGAAGTTAAAAAAATACAGGGTTAGTGCTGGCGCGTGCCTTTGATCCCAGCACTCAGGAAGCAGAGGGAGACAGATCTTGAGTTCAAGGCCAGCCTGGTCTACAGAGCAAGTTGTTCTATGACAGCCAAAGCTACACAGAGAAACCTTATCTAAAAAACAAAAACATAAACAAAACAAAACAAAAAAAACCAACCAAACAAACAAAAGGTGTGTATTTGGATTTTTTGATGAAACAGAAAAGGGTAGGATGGGACATATGGCTAATTTTTGGGAGGCTTGTTATCTGACCAAACCTGAAAACGCAGGTTATTCACACAGAGAATTCGCATGGTCACTGCTGAATGGGAATACTAGGATGTTAGGAATGTGGGGTCAGGAGGGTTACAGTAACAGCAAGAGGAAAAGCAGATGTGAGACCACCTTCTGTACAAGGTGATGCTATGTACAGAAGGCCACTGCACTTCCCAAGACCCTCACCAGGAGGAGGGGTCCTCACTCAGGCGACACGTGCCCTCCCAACACAAGAAGGTAATAAACACTTCACAAACAAGTACAAGTTACATAACCAAAATGGCTGTCTGACATGAGGCTGGGATATTCTATGAATTGTGATCCTTTCCTTTTTAAAAATCTAAAGAAGCGCACTTGCCGAGGCACAGGTAGGGATACTATAGGTTTAAGGCCAGTGTGGATTTGAAGAACTCCAGGCCAGACGGGCTACATGGAAGACTCTGTATCAAACAGATTGTGACTATTGCAACACGAACCCAAAGATCAGGACACACAGATCTAACAAACGTGCTCAGAGAACAGTTTGTTATGAATCTCAGTTAAAACCCAAACGACATGGCTGCCTTAGTGCAGTGGCTTGAATGAGCTGTCTCCGGCATTTGCATAGTTGGGCCCAGCTGGTAGCTGTGTGGGCATGCTTAGGAGAGGCTTCAAAAGACTCTTGCCACTTTGAGTTCATTCTCTCTGCTTCCCAGGTGTGGTTTGAAATGACTCCAGCTTCCACTTGCAGATCTAGTTACTATGGCTGCCAGTCTTCATGGCGATGGGCTGACCTGCTTCCCTGCCTTCATGGCGATGGGCTGACCCTCTGCAACCACACGCTCTTTCTTCTGCACGTTGCCTCAGTCATGACATTTCATCACAACAACAGGCAAACAATTAATACATACAGCTTTTGGCTTTTAAAATGTGTTACTTGTCACACATGGGGTAAATAAGCTCTACAAAACTTACAATGGAAAATGCTGTTTTAAAATTTTAGTCACTCCATAGAGTGAAAGAAATATCAATTATCCTGATGCAATCATTACACACTGTATAAATGAATTGGAATGTCATGCTGACCACAATAGATAAGTATGATTACTACTAAAAATAGAGCCAGGCCTATAGAGCCAGTGGGTAAAGGCCCAGCACTTGGTAAGTAGAGGCAAGAGGATGAAAAAGTCAAGGCCAGTGAGGGTTACAGAAAATCTGTCTCAAAAAACTGGAACTAATATAAAAATAGAAAATTAGGTCTAGTCACTCTAAATAGTTCCTGAGACAACAGACAGGAAACTGCTTGCAGAATCTTCAAGTTAGAATCAAAGCAAGCAGCATGCCCCGTTCTCGCTGCACATGAGAGAACTACAACTGTAGGAACACAGTCTCTAAAATAAGACACTTGCAAAGAATGATCTTGAGCTTTTCAATTATCACAAGGCAGGAACTGGAAATGAGGAAGAGGTCAGGCCAAAAGGGGAGAGGACTGCCCATTCTGACACCCAGCTCCTCTTGCCTGTCTTTTCAAGAGATGATGGAGGGCCATACAACCAAGAGGGACTTTCAGAAGCCCTCCAACTGTATGAAGTAGCACTTGTGGGGCAGCTGACGTGTGCTCCTCTAGTCTTGCAGATCTCTGCTATCAAGAGCTCAGAGTTGAAGAGGTACTATCAGAATTGTTTATCCACGCCCTTGTGTACTTCAGGGACATATATAAAAGGAATGTCATAGTCTCTTTGAAAACCAGTGTGACAGTTTCTCAAAACTTAAAAAAACAGACTTATCATATGCCCTGGCAGAAAAAAAAAGTACAGCCACAAAGAGATACCTGAAATATGTTCACAGCACAAGTGTCTATCAAAGGAAAACTGGACAAGCAGTACATGCTCCTCCACACAATGGATAATTTTAAAAATCTTAATTTATGCATAAAAACAAATGAAATTCTCACATAGACAACACAGTTGAACTGTGATTGTGCAAAGTGAAACAGGTAAGCCACAAAGGTTCAAATATTATAGGATGCTCCTTGTATGGGGTTCCTGGAATAGTCCAATCTAGAAAGTAGTGTGCTGTGCTGCAGGGTATAAATCACTGCTCAGCGGGCACAGACTCTTAGTCTTTCAAGTGGAAAAGGAATGTGAGGGGATGGCCAGAAAATGTAAGTGTACTTAATGTCACTGAACTGTACACTAAAAAACCAGAAAACTTACCTAAATATAAAATTAAAATGATGAAAAAACTAATTAAAAAATCTGTTTAACTATTTTCAGGAAAAAAATGTCTATTACACATTATTATTGGAAGCATCTGCACTTAGACATTCCCTAACAGACGGCAGAATGCTGGCCAGTGGTACCACACATCAGTGAGGCACTGTCATACTCACTAGCCACGTGACAGCAGGGTTGACTTCACAGATGACTATGACTCTTCAATATTCCAGACTTCCTAAAATTTGTTTTATGGTGCTTTGGAAAATTAAAAAAAAAAAAAAAAGTCCTACAATAAGCAAAACAAAATTCTCCAATACCCTTTCATCCACAGCATGATAATCCATAACCAGGAAATCTATTTCAGTGGCTCTCAGTTGAATGAAGGTTAAAGGTTACAAAAGCAAGTGAGAAAGAGAAAAATATGACTTCATTACTAGGCTCACACAGTTGGGAATACAGACCTAGACCTGAGGATGGAATAGCATTTCCCATCTTTATAGTAAGCTAAAGTCACACAGCAATTCCAAATAGTTTCCATAAACCCTCCTTCCTGTTACTATGCCAAGCTTCCAGATGAGAACACTGAGTTCAAGTGATCAGATCAGTCACCTAGTGCAACATGGTGATACACCAGGCTTTCCAAGCTCAAATCCACTTCTATACCTCACTCACTGACTTCTCCAGCCAGAGGTTTTACTGATCTCAAGTCACAAAACCCAAGAACAAAAGCAATGCCTATGACTTGGGGACTTGGCATAGAAGAGGAAGGTCTCACTTGATGGCTCACAGGTAAGGACCTGACTTGACATCATTACCACCCACCACTCAGATCATTACAGACTCATGTTGAAACCTTTTAGAAAGAAAGTCATTCAAAGGCATGGCTTCTATCCACCAAGACGTACCACAGAGACCACTGACTGAAGAAGATAAGCAAACACACCCCCTGGTCTGCCTGCTGCCTAAAGTAGACAGCAGCTGTGGACAACAGTGGGCACCAGCAGTTTGTTCAGGTGTCAGATGCTGAACTCGAGCTCTAAGCTCACTGCACATATCAGGTGATAAAGAAGATAACTGGATGTGTGCCACTGGAGGGCATGAAGGGCAGGTGGAGCTGAGCATCTGCAGAGTGGCAAATATTTAGAGTCTCACTATGCAAGACAGTGGCCCTGTCACTGACAATAAAGTGCTGAAACAAACAGATTATGAATAAAGCAAACCAGACATTCTAACAAGTGCCCCAAGGATAAAAGCCAGGAAGTATGACTGAGAGTGCCTGAGACCACAGTGGGGCTCTCTGACAAGACAGCACATGAATTCAGGCACAGGGACAGAGCTGACAGAGAAGCTTTCCAGGTGTTAATATAATACTGGCAGGTGCTAAGGTCTGAGGTGGAAATGAATTTAACCTGTGGAAACAAAGATACAACTTAAAGCCAGAGTGTTGTGAGTAATGTTAGTGGAGAAGCTAAAGGCTACATCAGTTGGGGCTTTAGTCACAGAAGTCTGGACTTTGTATTCAATGACGTAGGAAGTAGGAATTCTTTCTACATTTTTAGCAGATGAGGTTGGCCAAACAGATCAAAAAAAAAAAAATTCCTGAAATTCTCTATTAAAATGTCTCATATGAATAGACTTTGCATTAAAAACCAAGAGAGATCATAGCTTACTTGGTGTGGTGGTTTGTAATGAAAATGACCTCCATAGGTCCATACAAGTGGTGCTATTAAGAGGTATGGCCTTGTTGGAGTAGGTGTGGCCTTTTTGAAGGAAGTTTGTCACTGGATGTGGGCTTTGAGATTTCAGATGTTTAAGCCAGGCCCAGTGTAGCTCTCTCTTCCTGCTGTGTGCTGATCTGGATATAGAGCTCTCTGCTACCTCTCCAGCACCGTGACTGCCTGCATGTTCCCACGCTTCCTGCTATGATGATGGATTAAATCTCTGAACTGTAGGCCAGTCCCAATTAAATGTTTTCCTTTTTAACAGTTGCTATGGTCATAGTGACTCTTCACAGCAATAGAGACTCTATCTAAGATACTTGGTATGAGAGTATATACCACAAAAACTCTTCCAGAATGAAAAGTATGGAGAATGAGGAGAGAAGCGTCTTCAAAACCTTTGGAATTTCCCAACTACCATCATGTGTTCCTGGCTCTGCAATCCTAACCTAAAAGGCCCCTGTAGCAGCTGTGGAGGGTAGTCACTGTCTAGTACCTTCAGTTTCTGTCCTGGGCAAAAAGCTAGCTTCTGCAGGCCCTAGATTTCCAAAGCAACCACAATGCAAATCCCAATGTATAACAGGAGGAGAAAGTCTCTATAACCTTTGCCCTTGTTTCATGCCATGCCAACCAAAGCAAAAAAGGAAAGTACACATTTTTCTAACCTGCTCAAAATGGATTCATTTGGGCATTGCCAGGAATACTGAAAGAGGAGAAACAAGATCCAACCAATCCCTTTCATTAACCAACTTCTACAGAACCATTCTTCAGTGAATTCAGATACATCTGAATTGTTCTAAGCCAGGTAACTACTGTTACCCATACTACCCGAGGCAGGCAAGGGTCAATGAAGAACAAAAACTGTGTCTGAACCCTAGTTTGTTCCACCAGAAAAAAAGATGTGAATTAAATGGTCAATTCCTTCAAATCCTAGTTATTATCTGTGTCTGGGTGAGTACATGCCACATGTGTGTGAGTGCCCAAGGAGGCCAAAAGAGGATGTTGGATCCCTGGATCACAGGTAGTTGTAAGCTGCCAGACATGGGTGCTGCAAGTCCTCTGGAAAAGCAGCAAGTGCACTTAGCCACAGAGCCATCTCTCCAGCCCCTCCCCCCCAAACTTGAAGGGGGCCAATTAAAGATCACTGACCTCTAGGAGAAAAGAAAAACTAAGCTGATTTTGTCAGCCAAAGGTCAAGACTTGGAAGGTGTATGGACTGTGAGAAAATGAAGCAACACAACTGCCAGATGCTTCTAAGGAGTGGTATTTAGTAGCTTTTCCACAAGAGGACACCACACACCATCCACAACCTTGTCCCCGAAAAAGATATGGGGCAGGGAAGAGGAAGCAGCCCTCAGCATCCACCAAATCTGGATGAGTGCTTTTACACATCATTTCAAAAGTCATCCCACTGGGAAATAACCAGCTTTGTTTTCTAGCTGCTTCCTAAGAATCAGTACTAGGCTACACCAGAAAAGATAATAGAGCTGCCACAGTCACTTCATTCGCTGATGAGGAGACTGGCCCAGAGGGTTCAGCTAGTGGCAGAACCTGGAAAGAACCCTTGGTCTTCTGACTCATATTTCCTGCCAACCTTCACTATGTATTATTATATTATAAAGTAATAAAATACTGACAGCAAATAGGAACCAGATGGGTCACCCATAGTTCTATCATCACACCTGGTCACTAAGTACACCTACTCTTTTTATCACTGCTTATGGATTCTATTACCATATTACAATAATATTGGATTAATGGTCTTTCTAATACATAGGCCTCTCCAATATATCATAAATATAATGAAGAATAAAAAACAAACCAGATGGGGTGGTAAGTGCTTGTAATCTAGGTATGTGAGAGGTAAAGGCAGGAGGATCAATAGTCAAAGATCATCCTTGGCTACACATCAAGGTAGAGATCAACTTGGCCTCAATGAAACCTTGTTCTCTACCCCACCCCTCAAACATAGTAACAAAAATTTTATTAAACAGAGTGAAAAACAATAAACACTGATATGATTCGAGAGCCACACATGATACAACCTGAACTGATTTTATTCTCCTTAGAAGAGTTTGTATCCAAAATAAGTTTGTCTATATTATAAGAAACTTAAAATATGCAACAGCAACCAATTATTAGGACTTGGGATTAGGGTCCTTGTCATCAAGAACTTAAAGCAGAGCTCTCCAGAGGCCCTGAAGGTCATGGGATACAAGACTCAGGCTGCTAACTCTATGTACCTACCTGGAGCATCAGGTACTTGAAGAGGAATGAAAGGATCAGACACGCTTAGGAGTGGGATGCCAGAGTCCACAGCCTGCCCACCCTTCCTTTTCTCAGCTGGAGTTAGTTGGAAAGATCAGGAGAGAAAAACGAGAAAAGCAGAAGCTATTAAGTAAATATTGATGGATTTTCCTGTGGACCTCAACACCCCACATGTTCTGCAGGTACTGAGTCTTACTACCACGATGTCTAACAAAAGTGCTGTGCGGGGCTACAGGGCCTCCAGCTCTTACCTGATACTACTGCTACCCGTGCTCCACTTGGCAATCTGTAGAGGTCCAGAAACCTAAATTTCTTATAGCATATCAGGGCTTCAACCTTTAGAGCCCTGGAAATTTCTAGTACAATCTTTGTTTTTTTGTTTTGTTTTGTTTTGTTTTTCAGCAAAGAAAACAAAGACCCAAACTGAGGGACTAGGCAGTGCTCTGCTTACAAACAAGCATCAGAACTTGGGCCTCTTGGTTTCTACTTTAACATTCTTTACATTTCATTTTAGTACTCAGTTTGGTTATTAATTAAAATCTCGTTTTTATTTCTATTTTATTCTTTAAAATTTGAAAGTATGGTGATGTACACTATAGTCCTAGCTCTCTAGAAGCTGAGGCAGGGAGATCAAGAGTTGAGGCCAGCCTAATCTATGCACACAGTGATACTGTGTCTCAAACAAACAAAAAACAAAAACAAAGAAAACAGGAAAGTGTGCAGACTCACAGGAAGTTGCTACAGGCAGAGTGTGAGCCCTGTACCCAGCTTTTGCACAAACACACTTTCAGTCAGGGCAGCACAGCATCACCCGTGCCATACAACTCTGTAACCTGAACTATTTGGTTTCCCCTTGAACCCTTCTGGAGTATGGATTTGGGATGTCCTCCAGAGCTCTGCAGTGATTATGGTTAACTGTCAAGTTGCCGTAATCTAGAATCACCTGAAAGAGAGGTGCCAAAATATGTCTTTGAAGGATTATCTTGATTGTGTAACTGAGGTGAAGAGACCCTGCCTCCATGTGGGTGGCTCATTTCTGGGCCCTGGACTGACTGAAAAGGAGAGTGAGCTGCACACTAGCCTTCCTGTGATTGCTGTGGCAGCTGTGAAGTGGGTGTGCTTCTTCTTAAAGAACTGTTTTTACTTTGATTTGCTTATGGAGGTCAGGATACTGGCAGGAGGTGGTTCTCTGCTTCCATCATGTGGGTTTGAGGGATCAAATGCAAGTATTACATTTGGTCGCAAGCCCTTCCCTACTGAGCCATCTTGCCTTATACCCCCTTTACATAGTTTTCTTTTTATTTTGACATATGTGTAATGTGGAGGGGATGTGTGTGTGTGTGTGTGTGTGTGTGTGTGTGTGTGTGTGTGCGCGCGTGATGTGTGTACAGTGTGTGTTCCTGATGTGTCTGCAGCATTTACGTATACTATGTGCGTGGAGTCAGTTCTCTCTTTCCACTTTCAGGTTCCAGAGATGGAACTCAGTCTTCCAGGCTTGCCCAGCAAGCACATGTTGATTGATTAAATATTGGAATGAGCTAATATAGAGATGAAGCCATATTCTATAAATTCATGTTTACTGGAAGCAGTGTGGGAAAGGTAGGGGGAAAGACAGAGAGAGAGGAGAGAAGCATGTTCAGAGAGAAAGAGGGGAAAGAGAGAGAGAGGAAAAAGAGAAAGAGGAAGGAGAGGAAGGGGCAAATGGAAGGGTTGAAAGAGGGAAGGGCCAGGGCAAGGGCAAAAAGGGCAAAAGGCAGGAGGAACTCAAGTGTCTGGATTACATAGTGAAGGGTCTCTGGGAGAGGGAAGCCCCACCCCTAGGTAGAGGGCAGCGTCTACCAGTCACACCCTGCAGCAGGTAGGGACCTAACACCTGTGAGTGCTGAGCCATCTTGCCAGCCCACAGGGCACACCTTTTGCCCTTACTCTCTTCACCCTGAATCTTATCTCTTCTGACAGCAGCTTCCTTGACTTGGCTCTTCCTTCCCAGCTTACTTCCCTCTGAGAGCTTGGTCTCCCAGCTTCTTGCTCTCTCCCCATTTTTCAGGATCCTATGTTCCTCTGAGAGATTCCATCACTTCATAACAGCCTCAGCTATGTCCTACCCAATGCCAGCTCCTCAGGGACAAGGGAGAGTCTGACATACAATAATGTGAAAGGCAAAGATGGCAGCATTAGATGAGCTAGCAACACCCCCGTTCCCTGGACCTGGCTTCCTCACTCACACTGTGGTTTTGAAAATAACTGGTACCTACTTTTACTGCAGAGACAACCAAAATGAAGGAATCCAGACCTTAAGCTCTGGTGTGTAAGCAAGGGCACATTTGGCCCTTCCTTAGGCTAGCAGGGACTGTTCCTAGCCTGGCCAGATCTGTAGGAGGCAGTAGTAGCAGGGAGAGACTGGAGTATCAAGGCCTTGAGATGACAGAAAGTACACGGAACTGCAGTGGTAGCCTCACCCAGGCAGCCCAGCACAGGAAAGGAGAACATGGGTGCTGGGGCTTAGGAGGCAACTACCACCATGTGGGTTCTGGGACTCAAACTCAGGTGGCTATGCTTGGTGGTAAGTGCCTTTATCTACTGGCCATCTCACTAGCCCATGTCAAATTTATTCAGTGGAAAAAAATAAAAATAACAAAGAAAGGTTTTAAAATATAAAGATGGACATCACAGTATTACAATCTCAAACCAAATCTAAAATTGTACAAAACTATGATCATTTTTGTACAATGTATTTTAATGAGGAAGATCAGTAAGTTACATTAGATTCACAAAGATGTCTGTGATCCTAAAATTTTTAAATGTAGACTGCACATTGTGGAGGTGTGAATGAGAATGGCCTCATAGGCTCAGATATTTGAATGCTTGGACCCCAGATAGTGGAACTGTTTGGGAAGGATCAAGAAGTGTGGCCTTTTTGGGAGAAGGTATGTCACTGGCAGTGGACTTTGAAGTTTTAAAAGCCCATGTCAGTCCTGCTGCCTACAGATCAGGATGTAAAGCTCTCAGCTGCTTCAGCAATATGACTTGTCTGCTTCCTGACATGATGACTATGGACTAAAACTTTAAAAAAGCCTCCAATTAAATGTTTTCTCTTATAAGAGTTGCCTTGGTTATGGTGTCTCTTCATAGATCAGTGATTAAGACATACATCAACATGGTGTCATAATGCTATATCTAGGTGATTTGGACTTGTTTCTATACAAACTATAACTTTTATATAATAACTATAGATAATTTTTACTAATAATTGGGAAACAAGTTTCTTAATGCTTTGTTTTTTTTAAAAATGGACACATACATATTAGAATATCAAGTATAAGACAGTTTCTAATTCTTAGAATCCTTTAAGTCATCGCAAAGGCCCTAAGCAATGTACCAGAGCACTAGACCTTAAGTTAGAAATATCTGTATAAGACACATCCTGAACTAAGGAGAACAACTCAGGCCTATTCAAAAGATCACTCCACCGCTTGAGTTCAAAGTGATTATAGACGGTCCTTAAATGTTTCCAGATTGGATAACTACTGAAAGAATGAAGATGCGAGTTACCACCAGAAACTGGGTCTCTGTATGCTAGAGCTGTCAGGGAAGTGGAACTCTGAAGGTAACAACAGTGAGCCTTGTGTCTCAGGCATGTGTCACACTCACCAGTTCCAACAGAAAACGAGGAGGTGGCAAAGGCATCTCCTTGCGTTGGCTGGAAGCCTACGATCAAGCTCTCTGCAGAGCCACCCAGCTTCTCAGGAACCTTTCCTAGAAGGACAAAACACCACTTGGTTCATCGTCTCAGAATCCTGGGGTACACAGACATATAGTAAAGTGAAGAACTAACTCTGGTTTGACTCTTCTTACTACATTTATGGCAACACTTTTACCAGACACACACACAAAAAATCCTTGTCTGTGCCAATGCTCAAAGACCATTTTCCAAGCTGGAAGCAGCCTGAGAACTGAGAGGGAGTGGTAGCAGAGTGGTGAGAAGCTATGAAGGACAGCCATAACAACAGCAGTGCTACATGAAAGCTGACAGTGGAACAACAGCAATGCAGACCCGAGGTTAAAAATAGACAAGAGTTAAAAAACAAGAATAAACAAACAAACAAACAAGCAAACAACCCTCTGGGCTAGGGCTGGAGAGATGAGATGATTCATAGTATTGTGCTTCCAGAGTTCCAAAGTTAATTCCCAGCACCTACATGAGACAACTCACAACTGCCTGAAACTCAAGATCTAGGGGTTCTGATGTAGCTGGCTTCCAAGGGCCTGCACTCATATGCATAAAGCCAAATGTGGACCATGCACATATACGTAATTTGAAAATAAAATCTTCCAAGGGCTCATTAATTAGACACGAACATACTAACTTTCAATAACACAGGAAGACATTTCTGTTTACAGCACAGAATAAGAAGTGGCAGAGATAACAATGAAAATAACTTGTCAAAGAAATTTAAATCCTGTGCCCTGTCTTCTATCTAAAAAGGCTAAGTCAGCTATCCAGGTATGGTGGTCTACAACTTAAGAGAGGTAAGTGGATCGCTGTGAAGTTAAGGCCAGCATGGTCTATGTAGGGAATTCCAGACTAGCTAGGACTGCATAATGAGACTCTGTCTCAAAATGAAACAAAGTAAAATGGTAGAAAAGTATGTATTTAAAACATTGCTGTAAGGCAGTGGTTCTCAACCTTCCTAATGCTGTGACCCTTTAATACAGCTCCTCATGTTGTGTGACTCCCCCAACCAAAAAATTATTTTTGTTGCTACTTCATCACTGTAATTTTGCTGCTGTTACGACTTGTGATGTAAATATCTGACATGTAGGATATCTGACATGCAGCCTCTGCAAAGGAATGCTTGACCGCCAAAGGGCTGAGAACCACTGCTACTGGTAAAACAGTTCATCTCCTTGATTGGTTCTAATCATTATTTTGCTCTGTGCCCTGAGTACATGAAGGGTGTTCTATTCCAGCTGAACACTGGAGAGATTTCCCAGGCATCTGTATGGTATGCGTATGTTTGTGCAGATGTCACTTTGTCCTGCCTTCCGAATCAGGGTATGGATATTTTGGAAAAAACCTTGTCTTTTATTAAAAAAATCTCCTTTCTATGGTCAGTCAGGAATAACACAGATCAGGACCCAGCACCCTGTGAGGCACACCCTCAGCTACTATTTTTGGGCAAGTACACTGAGGATGAATGGGACATTCACATATCTTCAAGAAATCACTCAACTTAATGCAATTATTCCAGTTTATAGCACTAAATCTTTTCAAAGTTTCTCCTCTTATACTCACATACTCCCTGCTGTCTCTCACAGTTGGTCATCAATTTTGGAAAAAAAAAAAAATTAGTGTTCTGGCAAAAATGAAAATCAGTCTGCAAACCCCAAAGCTAACCCTTTTCAAGACAGGTCTATGCTAATCTTCCCCAAGCACATCCCTCTGCAGCTAAGACACAGACACATTCAAGTTTATTCTCAGCTGATTTACAACCAAGATGCATGGAAAAGACTCAGCTTGCTCACCTTCCCCCAGCTTGGCGAAGTCCTTGTTCAGCAGCTCTTCAGCTGTGAGTTTGGAGAAGTTGTCATCATCAAAAGGATTCCATGTGGAGCCTTCTGAAGCATTAGAGACATTCTGTTGTGAAGTCCGTGGAGAGCCTGAGGGAGTGGTGGTTGCAGACCTGGGAAGGTTGGCATCCCAACAGTGAAGGAAAAGAAAATTAAACAAATCAGAAGGACCCAAAATATTTTCTCTTCATTATGGTACCAGTTCTTTTCTCAGTCAAACCATCATTTTTCCATGGTGTTTTAGAAAGGACCTCCCATAGAAACTGAAGAGTTTAGTCTTTACAAGCGTTGTCTCCGTCACTTCAGCTCTCATGAAATCTTGACGCTTGCCTGTCTTTTGCAAGGTGTTTCAGGTTACGATCCACAGCTACCTATCCTGAGGCCTGTGTGCGGAGCACAACCAACCTCTGCTATGGCTGAATCCTAGGCCTGTCTTGGCTGCCTCTGACCTTTCAAGATCTAGTGTGTGTGGTTCCAAGCTATCATCATATGTTTAGAATGTTAGTCAATGGCAGAGTCACTCACAAAAAAAAAAAATAAATAAATAAATGAAATAAAGTTGCCACTACTTTGTATGTCTACATCACCTACTTCTCTTCCAGTCTCTCACGACTTAAATGTGTTTAACATAAGAATGCATGGTTTCATGGAAGCCAAGGCTCTAAATTTACACTGACTGAACAATGGTCATGAAGACTGACTTTACATGAAGCACAGACCAGCAACCCTACCAGGTTCATGAAGGCTAGCCAGACACACATATAATTCATGCTAAAATAGTGTGATGTATGCTTAAAAAAAAAAAAAAAGTCCAGGGATGGAGAGATGGCTCAACAGTTAAGAGTTTGTTCTCTCAGAGATCCTGAGTTTAATTCCCAGCAACTACATGATGGCTCACAACCATCTACATTGGTATCTTATGCTCTCTTCTGGCATGTAGGTGTACATGCAGATAAAGTACTAATATACAAAAAAAGAATGTCTTAAAAATTGTTAAAAACAAAGATTTGGCCTGCAGTGTTGTCTTACAGTAAACATTATTTATGGATGCATATCATACAGAGTTTTCAGAGAAATGGGCCAAGGGATTCACCTGTCCCACTAAAGAAAAAAAAATTCCTAGACAAAATACTGCATGAGAGGAAAGAGCAGCAGCTGACACAGATCTGAGGAGTCCAAGCATGCCTTCTATGGGAGAGGGAAAGCAGCAGCTCCAAAGGGCAGAATGAGCCAAGCATTGGGTAGACAGTGCTTGCTGAGGTAGCCACCTTCCAGGTGGTAGGTGTCCAATGTGTAATTGCCAGTAAATGGAGACTTGGTCAGACCATTTTGAAAGCACTCTACAGAGCATAGAACAGATGGGAGAATGGAAACTAAAAGTCTTATGATCTGTATGAAGCGCACACTGCGGACAAGCTCACGGTCTCTTACTAAATACAGATATGCACTGCCACATATGTAGTCTACTTCCGCAAGCTTATGCAAAGAACCATACAACAGTAACCCAGCGCAGACCGAGCCCACATGGTAAGAACAAACATACTTCGATTTATTGAGACTGGCCTCAGCTGCAGCTGCTTGGAGCAGCTGGGTTGATTTGCTGGCAGGAACCCCAAAGACTGCACTGTGGGTTACATCACTGAGAATCCGCCTGTGCCCACCACGTTGGGTTTTGGGAGAAGATGGAGGAGTAAGAGATCCAACTTTCTGTCCTTGGATAGTTGGGGGTGGAGTTGTCTGAACCTTTGGCTGTTGTCTTGATGGGGCTTGAATCTGCTAGGGACACAGAAATGCAAAGCTTTATTATGAACAAAACAAAACAAAAAAAGAGGAAATGGGGGAAAACACAACAAATCAACAACTGAGTATAATAACACCTCATTTGCTCATAGAAGATTAAATGGCTAAGCTTATCAACAGCACCGAGGCAGAGCCATCTGAACTGCCACGGAGACTGACACCGCCAAGGCATTGCCCGGTTCTTACACATTAGCTTCAATATACACGTCAACAAGATGTAATGTAGCTGCCAACCCAAGACCACAGAAGCTCTTCCCAGCCCTAAAGACCTAGAAGGTATCATAAAAGGCCTCCTTCTACTTATCCTGATGAGGAGAAACAGTACCTCATCAGGGATGCTTCCACAGGACAGGCAGAGTCTACTTTCTTTTACAGCTAGAAGAGAAGACATACTCCAGCCAAGATGCTTTGGAAAACATTAGTTTCTGATGAGAGTTTGGACCACCCCCCTACACTGAGTAGAATGAGTCAAACAATCCCAGTATGACTGAAACTGTGGCTCTGGTTTTTTGTTGTTAATGGCCTTCATTTCGCTGATGGGCTAGATTCACAAGAACCTATTTTCTGTTTCAACCCCTCAACAAAAGTGCAACACTGTTTTTGTGGGGTTGGCTTGTTCCAATATTCATTAAAAGAAGTGAAGATCATCAGAAAATACAGTGACATGGAAGAAAAACCTTAACAATAACTGAGTTAATAAAAGGACCCCTGAGAAGGGGTCCACAGAACAAAAAAAAAAATGAATAGGAATGTAGTTGTAACCATGTAAATTAGCATAAGCCACCTACCTGTATCAAGCAAAGTAATTTTAAAAGCAACCCAGAACTAAGCCCTTTCCTTAGTTCTGTCAATCTGAAAATAAAATGACTGGATACTGAGTGACTCAGGAATTTAACTATCCCTTCCCTCCAATCTCTCCACTCAAGTGAGAGCTGCCTCTCCACACTGAAGCTCAGCTCCTATGTTGTATCTCTGAAGACAGAAAGAATTTAAGAACATAAAGCTCAGTGGGTCAGGATGCTCATAGCAGGGGAGACTGTCCTCATGTTGTCCTTAGGATTGGAATGTTTTTTGAGGCATACTATCTACCTGTGTCTATATGTCAACTACTTTACCAACAAGATGAATAGCAGCAGATCTATAAGGCTCTACTGTCAACCAAACTAAGCCAGGAGGGGTAACACAGCCCACTGGGGAACAGAGAGCTCTGTGAAGGTCAGAGCCCTAGCATTGCATCTTCTTTTGGGGTCCAGAGCTGCGTCCATCAGAAAGGCCATCTGAATGCCAGTATCCACAGGGGTCAGTCATGGACTGGCTTATCTCACTGGAAAGGGTATTTCACAGCTACTACGGACTCCGTTAAAAAACATCCACACCATTTAGAGAACACTTCTCTTACCTATCCTTCAAATGTAGCATACATAACAGATGCCTCTAGCAGAAGAATTCATCAATGAGCAAAGGACCATTGAGCCACATCTCTAAGACAGCAAGAGTTGGTCATTTCTAATCTGAAAACCTGAAATTCCCAAGGTTCCTAAAACTGACACCTTTGAGCACTGACATGATACTACATGTGGAAAATTCCACGCCTGACCCCTGTAGCAGGTTACAGCCAAAGGCAAAATATAATATACACTTATTTACTCCACAAGTAGATTTGGATTTCACCCTCAAAATATTTCCTTATGGATACAAGGATGCCAGACTCTTAGGTACTTTTTGGTCCTAAGCATTTTAGACAAGGAATACTCAACTGGTAATATACAGCAGCTCCATCCACCAGCTGCTCACACAGCAGCCCAACAGGGCAAGTTTTATGGACATTGGGATTCAAAGAAAACAAGCGGAGGTGGACCTTACAGAACAAATTCCCGCACCCTTACTTAGGCAAGAGAAGATGATCTTCAGTCTCATAAGGCTAACAGGTCAACCACAGTCATAAGACCACTTGGAAGTAGAACCTGAATATGGCCGGGGCTCTTCTGCATCGCAATGTCTCCTCCTCCAAAGACAGGATTAGGAAGGAGAGTCAAGAAATCATAGTGGATAACCTAGAACCCCTGCACAGATGTAGCCCACGGCAGCTCAGTCTCCAAGTGGGTTCCCTAGTAATGGGAACAGAAACTGTCTCTGACATGAATGCAGTGACTGGCTGGCTCTCTGATCACCTCCCCCTGAGCGGGGAGCAGCCTTGCCAGGCCACAGAGCAAGACAATATAGCCAGTCTTGATGAGATCTGATAAGCTAGGGTCAGAGGGAAGGAGAGGAGGACTTCCCCCATCAGTGGACTTGGGGAGGATGGCGATGGGAGGGAACGAGGGAGGGTTTTACAGCTGGGATACAAAGTGAATAAACTGTAATTAATAAAAAAAAAATAAAGTTTTAAAAAGCAAAAAGAAAGAAATCATAGTGGGTAACATACACCTTTAATTTATGCTTTCAAGGCAAAGACAGGTGGATCTCTGTGATTTCAAGGTCAAACTGGTCTACACAGCAAGTTCCTGGCTAGCCTGGACTTTACAGTGAGACCAGTCTCAAAATAAGAATGGTTAAATAAAAATTTTTAAAGGGGGCAGGAGAGAGGAATACACTATGAAGAATGGTGGTGTCTGATGTCTATTTTGTTAGAGGCTTTAAACAATTATTTGTGTGTGAATGTGTATGTGTGTATGTGTGTGTGTGTGTGTGTGTGTGTGTGTGTGTGTGTGTGCATATATGTATGCATGTGTACCTGCATACTGAGTGCAGGTGCCTGAGGAGACCAGGGGCATGGGATGCTTTTGGAGCTGAAGTTCCAGGCAGCTGTGAGCTACTCAACATGTGTGCTGGGAATTGAAGTTGAGTGTTCTGCAGTAGCAGAAAGTGTGTCAACACCACCTTGTGGGCATTTTTTCATATGCCCGTACAGATCATCAAGGGAGAACAGATGCTTTTCCTTGCCAATCATCACTTCTTGCTCACTTACTTACTTCTCTGGATGAGCCCTACCATGCATCAGTAAGATGGGGCAGCTCCAAGCTGGACAGCTCTCTTCCTCCTGCTAAATAGCTGACTTCCACCTTGTGTCTCTATACCCACCACCCAGGGCACAGAGCTCAGTGTTGGCTCATCCAGGACTCATGAGAAGACTGAGGGTTCACTCCTAAGACAGTAGACACTTTGTCTGGGAAAAGCAGAGAAGAACCCTAACTCAGAGGCCCCTGTGACTGCTGCTACCTCTTCCCTTGCCCTTTCCCAGCATCACTGCATACTCCTCTCCAGTCTGTAGACCAAGCCCTACTGGTTCTTACCGCAGGCTCCTGGGCAGCAGCTGGCTGTGGGGCTGCGGCCGGCTGTGCCTGAGGCTGTGGAACTACAACAGCAGTCTTCTGCTGCAGGACAGCCTGCTGAGTCATCAGCTGTTGCTGCTGCTGCTGCTGCTGCTGCTGCTGCTGCTGCTGCTGCTGCTGGTAGAAGTTCTGAATCAGCTGTTGCTGAGAGCCTCCCTGGGACACCACAGGGAACTGTGCAGTAACTGGCTGCTGGGCTGTTGGATGTATTGCCTGAAACTGCACAGGAGAGTGGCAAGAAATGAGGAGGTGAATATCAGCCTAGCATAGAGCCACAGTCACAAAAGACTAATGTCTCAATAACTATAAAGGCAATGCTGAAGACAAAGGGAGGGCCCAGCAAAAGCCAAGAGTTCGGAAAAGGACTTAGGACATTAGAATCATACCAGCAACATTTTCACTTCCAGGCCCTTCCTACTGCAACAGCCTTCTTTCCAGGCCCAGGCCCAGGGAAGCTACCAGATTTAACTCAAGTGACTCTGAGACCTGTGGTGAACAGTAGCAAGTGACAGATCCCCCGTGTAGAAGAAATCCATCTTACAAAGGATTTTGAAGCAGCCAAGAATCAAATGCTTCCCCACATGAATAGAATGCCTCAGAGATGTTCCTGAAAAGAGCAACTCAAATGTTAACTGGTGACTAGCACCTATCCAAACCTTTCCAAAGTATGCTCCCCAACATATCTACCTTTATGAAATTCTGCCATCTTCAAATACTCTATTACTCTGTGACTGTCCTCCTCTTTGTGCTTCATGTAAGGCAGCACTACATTCCCAAGGCTTATTCCAAAAACCCGTGGGCTCAAGCAACCCTGTGCCTTAGCTTCCCAAGTGGTTGAGGCTAAAAGTGCACCTATACCCATGTTCCTGGCACTGCTGGGAGCTAAATGCTGATTTACTAACAAAGGATGCTAACAAACAAAAGTGAAGATCCTGTCTTGAAAACACCCAAAACTGTTACTGGTTTAATTAGGATACTCTTGGTATACCATGTGTCTACTAGGGTAAAATTAAAAGGTCCGCAAAAACAACATGTACTAGTTTAACCGCCTGTTTACAACAGCAATAACCCAGACCCACCCACAGGGGACTCAAAGGGCTGTGATCTGCCCTTCAGGGTGGCACAGGGGCATTCTAAAGAAGAAAATGAGAAATATGTTTTTGCAAGAAGAACGAGGGAATGAAAATTTGTAAATCTAACTTTAAAACTATTTAATTATTTTACATATTCATAAAACAACATGATATAGAAAGCAAAAATCAAAATAAAGTCAGTATTCTGTATCTAATTGGCAGCCAAATTAGAAATAATATAATAATATTTGAAAATAATATTTGAAGGTTGCCAGGCATGATGATGCCTGCTTGTATACCCTGGACTTGAAAGGCTGCGGCAGGGTGACAACCAAGAGTTCAAGGCTACTCTCTTCTGCAAGTAGCAAGAAGAAAGAGACACTGAACCTGGCTTGGGCTTTTGAAATTTCAAAACCAACAACAAAAAGATTTTCAGATGATAAAAACAACAAAATCTAAGAAGTTTAACAAAAGTTTTCAATTATGAGTCTGAATTAATATATAATCTGAACTCATAATGTTCATTTTCTAATAGAAGAAATCTATTTCAAAGTATCTACTAAAAAGGCCTAGAAACAATTACCAACATAACCCATTAACAACTAATTATTTCTTTAGAGAAAAGGATGACTCTAAGTTAAGAGCAGAATGATCCTGGAATTCATTACTCTCACTGGCAAAGAAATCATGGATCACTGGAGTCACATACAAGGGACCCAAAATCCAATCTGAAGGGACTTTAACTGGCTAAAATTAGGAGACTCTAAGCATGTTTAAAAATGGTAACACATTCAAATCCATAAACTTACAATAACACAAAGGAAAACACTCACCTTTGAATGAACACTGACGAACAAAGAAAGAACCTAACATTTTTCTTGCACTTTTCTGTACAAACAGGACCTCAGGGTAACTACACAGATGATAAAAAACAACTCTTTATATGCTGGTCAGATGACTCAGTGGGTAAAAATACCTGCTGTCAAGAAGCCAGATAACCTGAGTTTGATGTCCAGGACCCACTTGAAAGAGTATGATTTTACCTTCCAAAGTACATTTCAGGACTTGGGAAATATCAGCAATGGTTACTAAGCCAAAGAGAAAAATTAAAACAAGACAAATGAAAAAGAAACACCTAAGCACACTGACGGTCAAGAAAGAGCAGTGGGATGATCCACCCAGTGGGATGAACAGGAAGAACTACCGGACTGAACTCATACTGAGCATGTCTCTAGAAAGCACCGGGTTAGTTCCAGTGAGAGAGCTCAGCAACTAAAGGGATTTGCAGCCAAGTCTGATAGCCTGAGTTCTACTCCTGGAACCCACATGGTAGACAGGAAGAACAGACTCCTGAAAGTTGTCCTTTGACCTGCACATGCACAGGCTCACAAATATAGACAGATAGACAGACATAGTAGATGGTGGAATGACACCAAACGCGACCAAAGGATAACCAAGCCAAGTTCAGAATATGCAAAAGAACAAATAATTCAGTTTAAAAAAAAAAGCAAAGGAGATAAAAAAGGATATACAAAAGATACATCAGTCTCTCCCTGTGGTTGGAGAGTTGGCTCAGAGGTTAAAAATGTTTGCTGGAGCTCACATGTAACAAGCACACATGTAACAAGCCAGATGTCGCACAAATGACTGTAACTCCAAGGGATCCACTGCTGTTGTTATAATGAGAGAAAATCCCAACCGTTTGATCTTATCAGTGAAGACTCAGGGATCAGATGCTGGAGTGAAAACCTACTAGGTCAGAGAGGCAGCAAAAACACCCAGCAGATCTTTCTACCCAGCCCACTTTCCAGAGAAAAAAGCCTTCCTCACTTAGCTCAAGTACCAGATGGAAAAAGCTGAAAGCTCAAAAGCTAAAGAGCTCAAAAGCCCCCAAAGCTCATTCTTCTTCTCCATGCTGTCTAAAATACCCTTCTCTCAAAGTCTTTCCTTTTTACTGACTCCCTGTCAGCTGGTTTCTCGATCTGCCTTTTGACCTAGAGTTAACTTTATTAAATCCTGGGTACAAAGCTCTTGGATTAAAGGCATGTGCCAGGGATGTGTCACACCGTAATCACCTGTTACAATAAACACAAAGTTCTTAAATTAAGGGTGTGTGTTAGGGCTGAGCCGCACCAAACAAGACACAGGTTTTTACAGCTCACAACATCAGGGTGCACAATGGAATCAAACATCCTGCAACACATTGCTCCTTTTGCCTCAGAGGCCCACCACACTGTATGTGACCAAATATACACACGTGCATATACTCACACATTCACGGTTTTTAAAAAAGAAATAAGTCATTATAACATAGTATGTTCAGAGTTTAAAAATACATAATGCATATTCAGCACAATATATTGAATATTCAATCGAAATATTCAATACAAAAAATAATATACACCATCTAGATAGCATACATGGACCTTGTTTGGGTCCTGATCCAACCAAGCAAACTTAAACTATAAGACATCTGAAACAGCTGGACACTACTGGAATTGTGTGTTAATAGAACATTGTTGTTATTTTTTCCCACTGCATCTCCTTAGAAAGTAGCTCCTTCAGTGAGGGTGCTAAGTTGGCGTAAACTCCCCAAGCTTTGAGGACAACACTGAAAATCCTGAGAGTTATTAATCTACATTTTGATGCTTCAGTTTTCACATTTCTGAGAAGTGATGATGTGCTGGTCAGTGGCTCTTGGCGATCCTAGAACTTCCAAAGGAAGACAGCTGCATCTAGCAGGCCTTTTAATAGTAACAATTCCATTATACAAAGCAAGTGTCATAAAGAGCTCCTTACCTGCTGAGTCTGAGTCTGAGCCTGCTGCTGCTGCTGCGGCTGCTGCTGCGGCTGCTGCTGTGGCTGCGGCTGCTGTGCCTGCTGCTGCTGGTAAAAGGTGCCTGATGTCTGCTGTGGTGCTGTCTGCTGTGGTGCTGTCTGCTGTGGCTGCTGCTGCTTGAGAAGGAGCTGTTGCTGGTGCTGGGGTGTGGCCTGGGCCTGGGTGGGCAGACCTTGGGTCTGGGTAGAAGGTGTCTGCTGTGGGGTGGGTGGAGCTTGTGGCTGCTTGGTCTGAGATGACTGAAGAGGTTGACTAGGTGTGGCTTGGGTTTTAGGTTGGGGAACATTGGCTAGAAGGCCAGGCTGATTGCTGGGTCCTGCAATGAAATAAACTTCATGTAAGGGCTCAAAACTCTACCAGACAAAAATAGCTTTCTGAAGGCTAGTGGTGGTGGTGTACACCTTTAATCCAAGCACTCGGGAAGAGAGGCAGGTGAATCTCAGTGTGTTCAAGAACAGCCAGGACCACACAGAGAAACTCTGTAAAAAAAAGGCATTTTGATTTGCTACACAAGAAATAGCAGAAGTAGGCAGACTGTCCCAACCTTTGCCTGCTCCTACTACTTTGCCATCTGTGATGTTCTACTTGGGATAGCGTTCCATTTCTTGCCAAATCCTATGCTTCCAAAATTTAAAAACCAGGTGGAATTGTAAGATTCAATACTTGCCTCTTTCAGAGGGGTTTCCCTTAGGCATCATTCCATTTACCCAATGAGTCTGGTAGTTAGCGCCTCTAGTCACCCTTATATACACACATAGCTGACCACTAAAACTAAACATAGTCTCTCTACCAGCTTGCATATCACAGCAAAAGCATTCTTTTATATTTTATGAGTAGCTTACACAACTAGCATCTGAATGCCTGTTTGTATATAGATGGCCACCACATTTTTCAAAAATTGTTCCTGGTAAGCTGTGGTCTGTGACTTGTTATTTTGGATCAATCCCTTTATGAAACAAAGCTCATTCCTCTCATTATAACAGACTACTAGAACACAGAGGATGATACTCTAATAAACACAGCAGTAATGAAATTATATTCTTCTATGGTTATCAAAAAAATTAAGCCTTGTTTCTTTAAAAGCAAGTAGAAAGATATAAAATAAATAGGGTGGGGTGGATGGACCAAAGGTCCAATAAGAAATAAATGCAGATGACAGGCTTCAGGGGTCTTAGAGATCCACCTGAATACAAAAAGAGTTTCTCCTTTTGTAGCCACGGGGCATATGCATGCACAGGCAGCTCAGCCCATTATTCTTTAGGTTGTGCCTTCTAACACTACCATCAAGAAGCACCAGAACAAGCTGCAAACCACTTACTGACCTGTAGCCTGAGGTAGGGGCTGAACAGTAGCCCTCTTACGAGGAGTCAGGGCTGGCTGAATGGGAAGGATTCCTGGGTTTGGCTGAGTCTGCCCAGCCTTAGGCCTCTGGCGGGGTGCGATGGAAGTCTCTGTGGTGGGAATGGGATCTGTCAGTCTAACAAAGGGAAAACAAAATTGCTGTTAAAATGTGGGAAAACAGAGAGGATATGAAGAACTCATGATGTTTTGCCCTCAATGCTCCTTCAAACCATTCAGGTTTGCTTAGTCAACACTTCCCCCAAATTTCAACTCATCTGCAAAGGTAAATACATCAAAATAACATATCTCTCACCAGCAGCCTTAAAGTCAGGAAAGCATAGAATGATACATTTCAAACCCTGGAAATACATACTCAGCAAAGCAGTCTTTAAAAACGGATGAAGATTCAAGGACATTTGTGAGGAGAAGTGTGCAGGTGCCATGATACACACGTGGAGGTAAGAAGACAACTTTGGGTGTTGGTTCTCACCTTTTACCTAGTTTGAGACAGGGTCTCTCTCTGTACAACACTGCATGCACCAGGCTAGCTGGTCTGTCAACACAGGAGACAGCTCTCCTATGTGTGCCTCCCATCTCCTGGCTGGTGCATGTGAGAAGTACAGGCATAGCACCTACTGTACCAGCTTTTACATGGCAAGAATTTCACCCACTAGACCATCTCCTCAGCCCCAAATAAGGACATTTAAGACAAGCACAAACCAAGCTCATGACCACCCGCCCAGCTAAAAACCTGCAGTTTACAATACTGGTCTGCCTGCACGTGCATGACACACTGGGACAGCAGCGGCACAAACACTGTGGGAATAAACAACTACTATCTGATTGGATTTAAGGCTCACTCAAGGAGGCAGAACACAGGCCTGACACTGCTCAGGTGACCAAACCTTACATTAGACAGGTCATGGGCCTAGGGAAAAATCAAGTACAATTTTCCTGCTATAACCATAGATCAGTGTCTTGCTCAGCCATCATCAGAGAAGCTTCCTCTTGCTGTAGTAGATGGGAACTAATACAGATACCCACAGTTCGACAATGTAAAGAGAGTAAGACTTTGGGACAGTCCTAAATGGATGTCAGAGTTCAGGGAGCTACGCAGAAGAAGAGGTGGAAGGATTATAAAAGCCACAGGGGAAGGAGGGCACCAAGGAAACAACAGGACTGACAAACATATAAAATCACAGAGGCTGTGGCCACATACACAGACTCTGCACAGGTTCAAGCCAGATGGAGTCCCGGCACTGAGACAGGAAAGTACTTGCACACGATCTCCCATCCCTAAGCAAGACGCTATCTCCAACTGACAACCACTTGCAAAGGAAAAATTAGTGTTCTCCAATGAAGCTTCTCTGAGCATATAGACTACATTTAAGGGTAGGTGCCATGGCCCAGAAGATAACCAAAACAGAATGAACTCAATGGTGTTTTCGTACAGTTTTTTTTTTCTCACATTTCTTTGTTTGGGCTATTTTTTTTTTTAATTTTACTAGTCTTTTGCTTGTATATTAATTATGGTTTCCAATTTTGTGTTTTTATGGGTTTTGTTTTGTGTATGTCCATATATGTGTTTTTTTTTTTTTTGTGCTTTCTCAGTTTTCTTTCTTTTTTTTAAACTTGCCAAATTTGTTCCTAAAGGCATAGAGAAAGTAGTTGTGCAGTTGGATGGGTAGGGAGGCGGAGAGGAACTCAGAAGATGGGAGAGGGGACACTGTAACCAGAATATATTGTATAAATTTTCAATAAAAAAAAAAAAATAATTGAGCTACCTCCCCAGTCTCTGGTCCCTGAATAATATACTCTTGAGTGACAAGTGAGGTCACTGAATAAATCAGAGGGAAATAAAACCTTTTTTCCTTCGAAATAATTCATGTATACTCAGTATAAATGTTATTAAATGTCTCCAATAAAAAGATTAAAAACCAGCCAGGCAAGGTGGTACATGGATGTCAGTGAGTTTGAGGCCAGCCTAGTCTACAAAGGGAGTCCGGGATAGCCAATGCTACACAGAGAAACCCTGTCTTAAAAAAAAAAAAAAAAAAAAAAAAAAAGATTAAAAGCTGCTTGGTGGACAAATAAGTTCTAAACACACTGACCAAATCTAGGAACAGACAAATTTCTGTCCATGTGTCAATGTGCAGAGTGACTGCTACTGAAACGCCTGTATAGAAAACAGCTTCAAGATGATTCTATCTTGAGACTGTTTCACCAAACACAGGACTTCCAGAATACCCTCTGGGTAATGGTTGGGGCAGTAGTTTTCCACATACAGATAGAACTTAAACTTGGTTAAAACTAGCTGTCATAATGGACTGTCTAGGGACTGTAGGGGTGGCTCAGTAGTTAAGAGTCCTTCTACTCCACCAACAAAGCCAAAAAATCTGGGCCCACAGGAGCCTGCAAAGACTGATGCACCAACCAAGGACCAGTCATGGAAAGGACCTAGACCCCCTGCTCAGATGTAGCCCATAAACATCTCTCTCCATGTGGGTTCCCAAATAAGGGAAGCAGGGGCTGTCTCTGACATGAACTCAATTGCCCACTCCCTGCCTTTCTGACTTTGGGCATCTTCCTTTACTTGTTTAATTCGTTTTTGGAAGACCCTAGGTGACTCCAGTGTGATTAGCTAAGACCTGAGGGGATCTTCTGCTGTTCATGGACTGTCATTTCAACTGCACTTTCCAAATATGGCTACAGCCAGAGAAGGAAGGAATGTAGAGGATAAACATAGCTACCCACCAGCTCAAAAACAGGTTAGACAATTCTCTACCAGTAACCCTTAAAGTCTGTCATTGCCTCATCTCAGAAAGTCCTGACCTTTGCCATGCAAAGGTCACATCTGTGAGGTTCTTGATTCTTTTCAAATGTAGGTCCCAGCATTTTATTACATCTCTCTCAGCATTCTCAAAGAACAGTTTCTGCATAGGGAGGCAGAGCTTGCTTTTCTGATCCAGGCAGTCTCTACTCACAATCACACAGGACTCCAACAGTAGGCACCTCCACTGCAGCTGGTACCAAGCACAACGCAAGTTCTTGAGGGCATTTCTTACCTGGCCTTTGGCTGTGTCTTTTTTACAGCTGCCTCACTGGCTTTCACTGGTTCAGGAAGTTTTGCAGGAATGGGAGAGTTCTAAAAAGTTGAAAGAAAAAAAAAAAGTATATGGATTTCTCTGTAAAGAATAAGCAGCCTGATGCTAGGTATAATGGCCTATGGCAGAAATCCCAGGACTTGAAAGGTTGAGGCAGGAGGATCACAAAATCAATGTCAGTCTGGGCTATACAATAGGATCCTATTTTAAAACATAAAATAAAAATTAAAATTCCAAACAAGGAGCCTGTAATCCCAGAACGCTGGGAAGCAGAAGCAGGAAGATTGCTTTGAGTTTGAGGCCAGCCTGTTCTACAAAGCAAGTCCAGGACAGCCAAGGATAAACAGAGAAACCTTGTCTAAAGAAAAATAAAAATTGCAAACAAGGAAAAACAAGTCTGACTAGAGCTAATGGAAGTAGCATTGGGGGTCTTCTAACATGACTTCCTGGACCTCATTTCCCTGTTAGAGGTAACAAATGCAGAGATGCATCAAGGGAGCAAAATGCCCAAGAAGAGAGAGAGTGCAGCAGGGAGAACAGAACCTTGCCTCAAGAAGCAAGGCACCTGATCACTCCAAGGAAACACAACAGACATAATGCTCTGGGTGAGCTGTGCAAGGACTTGGCCGCTCTGCTCAGAGCTCAATCCCCAGGCATGGGAAGAGGGGGTGTTATTTTTCAGTGTAGTTGTCTCAGTTTCACAATTAAATTCCATGGGAAAATTGTATTCTTTTTATAGTAGCTGCTTTGCTTGAATGTCCTAAGAGAGTAAAGCAAGGGACATTAATATTCATTGAATACAGAGATTAACACCCATAATGACTCAAAAGAACAATTTGATGAGGTTCATTTCCTTTAAATAGTACTTGAACTCATGGCAGCTGTGGTTACATGCACAAGACCTGCCCAAGATCAAGTTAGTCAAAATTCCAGGGACTCATGAGGCCCCACATCTCACTCAAGAACCATGGGCAGTTGATGCCTGTTGAGGGAGAGCCATTTCTCTTTGTAAATGTAACGAGAGTACACAGCCAGTGCTCAGGTGGATAGCCCCATACCTGTGGGCATATGGGCAGAACTAATTGGATTCAGCAGGACATAGAAAGAAAAAGAGAGAGAGAGAGAGAGAGAGAGAGAAAGAGAGAGAGAGAGAGAGAAAGGGAAAGGAAAGGAAAGGAAAAAGGAAAAGAAAAAGAAAGGACAGGAACTTGGGAAGGGATGGGTTAGAAAGGTTCCTAGGGAAGTTGGAGGGAGGAATCAGATGGATATAATAAAAATGTATTGTATATACACATGAAATTCTCAAAGAACAAATAAAAACATCCTTAACAATTATAAATCAGTTTTAAGAAGCACCATTCACATACCTGTACATTTGGAACTGGGCACTCTTTCTTGAGTAGTTTAAATGAGAAGTAAGAAACCTGGTAAATATCCGGCCTTTTGTCAGGGTCTGGTTCCAACATATACCCTAAAACAAGCACACATGAGCTTACTTCATGATATTCTAACAGTTGTTGTATCAGCTACATAACTGAACTTTTCTACTACCAAAGTTGGGTTGTGTTTTAAGCTTCAGTTCTCAGAAAAGTCAGGCAGTTCAATTAGCCCATTTTCTAGCAAGGGAAACAAGGAAATCCACTCATCAAGCTGAAGCAAAGCTACTAAGGCTCATACCCTGTGCCTGGACTATCAGGGCTCCCCCTCTTGAGACAAAAGTAAGCAGTTTCATAGTCTAAGACTTAGTAGGTGTCATGGTCTTGCATCTTGTTTCCTAGCTTATTTCGTCTGTTAACAAATGACTGTTGACAAATACAAGCAAATTTAAACTTCATGAACTCAGGGTCTGGTGGCAGACAATCCATGGGTCTGTCTCGAGTCTATAAAACAAACTCACAAATTTACTTACTACTCTTGGAGATATATAAGCTAGTTTTTGGTTGGAGGAAAATTATGCAGTTAACATACTCAGATCTATAAACTGCCTGTCTCTTTCCAGGTCCTTCAAGCATCTCTGACACTGGAAATTCCTCAGGAGAAACCTTTGAGAAGATACAAGCACATGTGTAAATACATGCAAAAATGAGCAAAGGTGGTTTACTGCTGAAGTAACGAATGACCTGTACACTAAGTACAGAAGATCTGTGAGGCTGGAGCTTCAAGTGGCCTTGCAAAGAGATGGGACAAAAGTTAGTCATGGGAGTGTAAAGGAAGATGCAGTCCAGGTGAGAGGACACTGTGAACAAAGACACCTTAGACAAAGGCCAGAAAATGAACACTGCCACCTAGAAACAGGAACCCAACAGACATGGTACCAAGATGGCTACCTGCGTGGGACAGAAAAAGAATACAAAAGACCTTAAATACTGTGCTAAGAAAGCAGGGCCTAATTGTGGAATCACTGGCAAGCCACTCAAGTTTATTCAACAAGACAGGAGTGACAAGTTCAACAAGAAGGTGACAAGTTCTGGGAATGACCCATGGTAAGAATGCACTAGAAGATGGAAAAAAGTAGGAAACTGGGGCAACGTACCAAGTCGTAATCTGTCAGCGTCTGTACATACTATGGTGACAATGATGAGAACCAAGACAACTGATAAAAACAGTAGAAACTCAAAAGAAAATCACCACAGCCTAGGTCATCACTGATTCTTCCCCCTTTCTTGCTCTTTCAGATCCAAAGAAAATCTTCTGTTACCTATCCAGGTTTGGATGGCAATACCACCAAAAGAAAATGAGGAAGGACGATGGTCTGGGGAAAGGATTGGGGGAGGCAACAAGAGGCTGAATTTGAAGACTGTAAGTTAAGAATTGTCAAATAGCTTGCACACTAAATAGGGTCTAGAAAAGGTGTCAGTGCTACAGTCCCATAAAGAGCTGATTTTTTTCAACATGAATTCATTGATGCAGATATTAAAAAGAAAAAATAGCAAAAAAAAAAAAAGGTATCAATAACATGGAGATGAGCTCTTCTCTCATACCTCCCTCCACACTTCCTTACTATGTCTGCAGTCCGAGTACAGACACCCTGCTTTGCCTCTGAAAACAACCTGACACTCTTAAGGACCATGTTCTTATCCTGTCTTCTTTTTAAAGGCGTGAGTCACCATCACTGGGTTAGATACACTCATTTTACAGGTGGTTATGAGCCATCATGCGGATGCCAGGTCTTCTGCAAGAACAGCCAGTGTCCTAAACCACCAAGCCATCTCTCCAGCCCCCATCACATTGTTATCGTTTAAATACCCTATCCTCCTGTTCATTGATATAAGTGTCAAAATGAAAAGGACAGTTGTGGTTCCGCCAGAATGTTGTCAAATTGAGTAAGTCATTCTGTTTCCTCTTGTGTGTAATAGGAACAATGATCTTAAAGTCTACAGGTTTTGACAGACTTGGTGGCACATGACTTTAGTCTCAGTATGAAGAAGGCAGAGGTAAGAAGATCTCTGTGAGTTCGAGGCCAGCCTGGTCTACATAGTGAGTTCCAGCACAGCTAAAGCTACATAGTAAGACCTTGTCTCAAAGAAATATAAACAATTAAGCAAGCAAGTAAATAAGTAAGTAAATAAATAAATAAATGCCCACCAAAACTCCAGGTTTTGGGAATCAGGTGAGGTGTAGGTAGGCCTCAACACAGTTCAGACAGTCTATCTCACTTCTCTTTCTCTCAGTACTTTCTCTGCCCAGGACTCAAACTGGGTAGCTCTGGATTTATGGTTTGCAATGCTTTTTCAAACTTAGCTACTAAATGTCTTGACCAGCATTTTAAAGATGAATTTTTTTTAAAAAAGTCTGTTTCTTTAGCATTTTAGTACAAGTTCTGGTACAAAGCTTACTTTTCTACCATCTGGTTAATGGATGTTAGTACATATGCTGGCTATGATAACACAAAAAGAGGAAAATCTTTAGAATTTTAAATAAAACACTCAATTTAGATGCTTGTTGTAAAAATCCAGTGATAACTAAATGAGAGGAAAAACCTGGCTCCATGGAGTTATATGGTCTTAATTACACATTCATTCCAGTACCGCAATCATGTTCACTTGAGCTGCTTCCAGCTTTGCAGAGATGGCTTTCTTAAGCCCTTGATGTGAGTCAGCTGGACTCTGAGCTCTCGCACAGCCTGCAGCAGAACACAGCAGCATCACGCTGCTCAGAGCACAACTACCAGATCCACTTGTGTGGTTGGCTCAGTTGTGAAGTGGAGTTTAGTTTTCTAGCAAAAAAAAAAAAAAAAAAACTTCTCAAAGTGAACACTATGATGCTACCAATGTTCCCAACAGTATCAAATGATTTCTTTATCACTGCATTCAGCCTTGTTCATTCAATTTAATCTCTTTACCCTCCAATCCATTCCTAGTGATTAGAAATAAAATTTGAAACTGGAAACTTAAAATACTTACTAATAAGGCAGTGCATATCTTGTGAATATCGGGAGTTATCGGGAATTGTGAAGCTTCCATCACAAATTGCCACCTGGCTCTCCCCAAATGGCAAAGTGAAGTAGCATAATTTATACAACAAACAGCCAAGAGCCTAAAAAATAAGAAAGTAGATTGCAACTAATGGTGTATTTACTGTAAAGCCAGTGATCTGCTAAGAGAGATCAGTACCATCTACATTTATCAGCAGAAAAAGACATACATAGAATTATAACCTATGTGACTCTTAAACTTAGACCCAGAGTTACATTTTTATGTATGATCAGAAAACCATCCCACTGGGTTTGCTCTTTAGAAGTATACCATAGAAATAAAAAGCCCTAGAACAACACACTAGTACACTCAAGTAGGTGAGGTGTTTTTGTTTTTGTTTGTTTCTTTCTTTCTTTGTTTTTTTTCCTCCATATTCTAAGAGACCATGACTGTCCCCTCACATCAAAATCAGCATCAGGAGCTGGAGAGGTGGCTCAGTGGTTAAGAGCACTTGCTGTTCCTCCAGAGAACCTAAATTCAATTTCCAGTACGCACATGGTGGCTCACAACCATTAGTAGCCCCAGTTCCAGGGTATCCAATACTGTCCTCTGAGGACACTGCACACACATGTTATATGTGACATTCATGCAGGCAAAACACACATACACATAAAGTAATAAAATAAAATTGAAAGATGACGATCAACAGTGGGCAAGGCTCTGCGCTCACTCCTGGCTTACTCCTTGGACTCCAGCCAAGGCCTCCTGACATCTGGGGTATGGATAGCTTAGTTGACACATACCCAAATGTCTGCCTTCGTAGTGATGATTTTGCCACTGTACAAGTTGACCATTTCTGGGGCTCGATAGGACAACGTTGTGTATCTACAATCAAGAGATCCATGTTTTGTTAAATACATCAGTGCTATAATTAAAATCAAGGAGGAACAATTGTTTTTACATTACTAGAATCCAATTCTCTGACAGCAATCTGCAGAAGAGCAAATTAAATGTTAGTAGAGATAAAGTGTTATAATGATGTCATCACATCCTCTCCCAGCAGACCTACTCCTTCGACACTGGGGAATTCAGACATAAATACACTAAATAAAGTCCTAAAAGCACCCTTTTTTGGGTCCTCAAATGACAAAAATTTCCCCTATAAGTTGTAGTCTTACACTGTATTTTGCTGATTAGTTTTTAAAATAGTAAACCATTAACATGAGACTCAGAGAAACAACACAAGTAGGGGATTCTGAAAGCGAGCCCTGGCTGGGGTAGCGGTTTCATGTGTTCTTTTCTGGGAAGAGGTATTGTATGTAGTGCATGTTCACATGTGCGCTTATGTGTATGGAGAGCAGAAGTTGACACTGAGTGTCTTCCTTCACTCCCTTACACTTTATTTCTTGATATTTGCTGATGATGAGTCTAGCAATCCAGCTTATTCTAGGGATTTCCTATCTCCACCTCCCAAGTGTTGGGATTACAGACAGCCATCATGCTCAACCAGACCTTTCTAAATGGGTGCTAAGGATCCAAACTCTAGTCCTCACATTTAATGGCAAGCATTTGATGCACTGTGCCGTCCTTCCAGCATCATGATCACGAGGCTAAAATAGCAGTATTCCTGTCTTTGACTCAAGAAAACAGTGGTGTGAGCACTTGTTCCAAGTGACTATCTTGTGTTACTGAACACTCAGCTATGCTGCTCTGGTATCTCCCCTCAGGGGGATTTCTTTGACTGTCTATCAGGGCCTTGGACCAGAAGTGGTCTGGCCTTAGGCACGGTTACCTGAGTGATGCACAAGGTGATAGAGGCTCACCATCTTCAAGTACACGCTGTATAGCTAATTTACTAGAAGCCACAGTGTGTGGACTGTGCCTGGGAAAACCCAACATTGTGGCATGAGGTTCCTACAGGAGTCAAAATCTATAGAGACTTCCTGTCAGGTCACTAGTTTAATAACTGTAGGAGCTTCAGTTGCTCTATTTAACATAAAATCCACTACAGAGTGGTTGAGTTTCTCATGAGATAGAGTAGGGAGCAATTTACGGCTCAATAAAAAACAGACACCTATCTGATCCATAATACCACAGTTGTTGACTTCCCTTGAAAATATTATGATACTTCAGTGAGTATGGACCACCATTTAGCCTTTAGTTTTCCTTTTGTTTTTGAGCCTTGAATTTAGAATCCTCTTGCCTCAGCTCCTGAGTTGCTGAAATTACAGGGATGTACCATACCTTCCCCACCCTCTCCAGCAGTCACTCATCTTTGTATGGGTGTGTGACACTGTAAATTAAAGTATGTGTGTTTAGCAACCATAGCTTTGAGAAAGGCTTAAGACTCTCCTGTGTCAGTCCACCAGTCAGTCTTCCCTCCTCAGCCTTCAGGTTCAGGCAAACAACACAGTGAACAGTTTGCTTTGGGATAAAGGATAAGTGGCTTGCCACATTTTCTTCCCACTCTGTTTCACCCAAAACTGAAAAGGAATGTGCTCATCTGACAATGGACAGAACTCCAGGAAAGGAGAAAAGGCTTACTTCTTAATTTCATCTTCTACTGCATTGACTCCCTCGGCCTGTGGATTCTGGAATTTGTTGGTGGCACTTCCAAAGTCACACAAGACATAGTGGCCTCGGTCATGCAAGAGGATATTTTCAACCTGAAAAACATTCCCAAATCACCCAATCCAAGATGCCACTTAGTAATGGGAAAAGCTAGTTTCACAGTCACATAATAAAAGGTTTCATTTTTACAGTCTTATTAGTGTGCACAGAGAAGTTATTCCTCAGCAAAGACATGCAAGGAAACAGGGTAAAATGCAGGCAGAGGGTCAGACAGAGGAACTGCACTGTTGGGTAAGCCACAGCCCTATTTTCATGGCTAGCCGGCTACAGCCATCGCATTGCACCTCTGAGGTAATAGTGATCATACTTTGAAACTCTTGCTCAACTTTCAGTTTAGCATGCTTTCCATGACCCCAGACTCTTATCCAACTATCAAATAATCATCTGCTTTCAAACTCAAGTATGAAAGCCACCTTATAGAAGCCTCCCAAGGACCCAACTCAGAAAAATATCATTTCCCCATTTTCCTTCAGTGTTTCATTTTCCATGCTGCAAATTACTTCACTTTTAAGTGGGTACAATAATATCTTTATTACATTAGATTAAGACTTTCAGATCTGATGTTTTTCTATTTAGTTACTTCTCAAAGTGACAAAATGCATGGTGATAAATGAGCAGCTTCTCTGTTAGAATCGTATTCGAGGGTTTTTGTTTTGTTTTAATTTTTAAACAAGTCTTCAGGCACTAAGTTAAGAGCTTTAACTCAATGAAGCTTATAAGGACCAAGACCTAGAGGAACCTTTATGCCAGTGAAAAGAACTCCAAAACAATGGGCACAGGCAAGAGAGATGGCTCAGCACCCACGAGCACTCACTGCTCTTGCAGAGGACCCAGGTCCGATTCCCCTCACACATGGTGGTTCACAACCATCTGTAACTTCAGTTCCAGGAGATCTAATGCCTTCTCTGGCCTCAGTAGGAACCAAACACTGGGCACAACATTCTCAAGATATACTGATGAGCTCTTGTTCTGGGGAACTGAGTTGATTGGCATTCGGGAAGACAGTTCTGGTTATGCCTGGCATAATATGGAGGCAATAAAGGCCCTTGCTAGGCCCTGAAGACTGTAGATTCTATGGTCTTTTTCCTCATTCCCCACAGACTAACCACCTTGAAAAAATAAAGGCAAAAAGACTGTAAACTCTTCAAAGACAACCATCTCTCAGTCACGGCTGGAGTCTTCTCTGCCCAACCACACTAGAGTTTTGGTACAGAAACTGCCAAGAAAAAAAGGAGAAACCCTTACTAATCTGTTGCCATGCACACGTGCACACCATTCATGGTCCAGCTAAGACAGGAGCCAGACAACCACGCCCTACTGCTTCTCTTGCTCCTACAGGTATATCTGAATTTTTCTCTTAATTCTTTTGAAAACTAAACAAAGTGTATTTTTAGTCTATATTTGCTAATTCTGACTATTTGAAATCTTTGCTGCATTCTGCAGATTATTTACCAAGCAGTGACTATTGCCAGTATTACTCAGCACACAGCATGGATTACAACTCCCATCTTAGAGCTGGAAAAAGTGAGGCTTGGGGTAATTTAGTCAATACTAACAAGCAGCAGAGCTAGAAGTGAACCTAAGCAATCTAACACTAGGAAAAGACAGACAGCTCCATTGCTGCTGGTGCAGCAAGGTCAGAAGCGAATTATTCAAGACTCCATGTCCACTTCTATCTCTGAGCCGTGACAGACATGGGACTAGGTTTATGGGCAGACTTCCTTAACTCATTGTATGCAGAAATGCCCCTAGAATGGAAATCAGGTCAAAAGAAGTCAGCTGTCACTCTTAGTCACGTGTGTTTGTTCCGGGTTGCCTATGCTTTCTTTGTACTATCTAATCTGTTTTTTCACTCTACTGCTCACCCAGTTAGCCAAATCTCAGCAGTTCTTGAAAACTTTGCTCATGAAACCTTCCACGACTACCCTAAACACACATACAATTTGCTGCCCACAGAAGAATGCTCAAAAGGCCTTCAGGCCAAACCTTGTCATGTCCACAGGTTAATTACCTGGCAGTCTACGTGTTTCAGTCTGTGTGCAAAGTGCCCACCAAAAGGTTCCTTGTGTTGAAAGCTTGGTCCTCACCTAGTACACCCATTAATTTACAGGTGACTGGATCATGAAAGCGCTGGTTTTGTTCGTTAACTGCTCTACACCTGAGTTTACAGCTGAATGGCCATTTAGGAAGTGGGTAACGAGATGGGTGCCCTTAAAGGTTCCGTTTGGTCCCCAGTCCCTTCCTGTTCTACTCTGCTCCTACATGGCTGCTTCACTTCAGGCCCAAAGCAACGGGGTAGATGAACCTGGCCTGAAAACTCCTAAATGCAAACCAAAATAATTTTCTTCCTTTTGTTTCTCAGGTACCTGTCACAGCAATGAAATCTGGCTGTGCTACCTTTCTCCGATGGAAGAGCTGAACAATTCCATGAGACTCTATGGCTAGCATGCCTAAAACATTCATATCTGCCCTTCTGCTGGCAAAGTTTGCCAATGTTTGGGAATCTTCTATGGATTTGTAGCTGACTACTATGGTGTGATTGTGGAGTTTTGGTTTCTTTAATAAACACAGAAATACTATAGGATTATGTTTTCATTTTTTAATCCCAAGTGTGGGGAAATGGGGCTTCTGACTGTCTGCAGCAGCTGACTATCATCTGCTCTAGCAGAGGTGTGGCATCAGCTACAGAGAGTTTCTGCAATTGTGTGACATTTGGAATTCTGAGAACTTTTTAGAGGGCATATAAATGCTGGAGCCCTAAGAGGCGGGGTTGATGGTTATTGGTCATTCAGGGGGGTTGGTTATGGTTTGTTAGTACTTCGGTTCAAAGAAGAAACGAGAAGAAGGAAATTAGATTCAAGGATCTCTCTCTCTCTTTCTCTCCTCTCTCCTTCTTTCTCTCCTATCTAGTGATAGGGGGTGTATGCGGGTGGGGTTGGGAATAAAGGTTAGGAAAAAGAAGAACCCACAAAGTAGCAAAGACAAATGATAGGCTACTGGCATATTTATGTTTTCCTTCCCTACAGCACAAAACCTTTGAGTCAGGGTGCTGCGTTAACCTATGAATCCCTCGCAGCTCCTAGCTGAGTGCTGTGCCCTCAGCAGGCGTCCTTCAATTCTGTGAAATCACTTACTCAGCATTGGTTAGAAATAATTTTTCTCCCTGGCCTGATGTACCTTATAGGACTGATGTGAAATCATGCTTCTCCTAGTTTATGTGTCTTCTCCCTTTGCAAGTCAGATTCTATACTTCTAATGTGGAATGAACTTCTATCTAGAAAACAGAAAAGTTAGTTCATAGTAAGTAGCAAGGTAGTCACAGCATTAAAAGTCACTGTCTGGGAAAGAGGAACTAAGCTAAGAAAGCAAAGTAAGATGAGGCACACTGTGGCTGACATGAATGACAGCCTGTTCTTGCTACTTTGCCCATTGGAGGCAGGGTCAGAAACTCTGAAGGTAAAATTGTTGGTTGGCATAATGCGTTCTCCCACCCCTTTTCAGCGTGACCTGTGAAAACCTCCCAGGCCAGCCTAGCCACTGTTGGCTACTCTCCATCATCATCACCATCAAGGCACTCAACAAGACGCTGGACTTGGGGTGAAGACCTCAAGAGTATTTTTGATATTTGGCCTTAGGTAAACCTGCAAGTCTCTTTTTTCTCATCTGTGAAATGGGGCTGTTAATATTTCCATCACAGTTACAATGAAAGCAAGTAATATATATATGTGTGTGTGTGTGTGTGTGTGTGTGTGTGTGTGTGTGTGTGTCAAAGAATGTAAGCTATTACTGCCATTCACTTATGAAAGAAATGTGTTTGAATTCCTACAATATGCCAAGTACTCTTCTAGGTATAGGGATAAGGCTATAGAAAAATAAAATCCAGTCTCTTGTGGCACTTAAAGTCCAAGGTGGTATTAGAAAATAATTACAGTTGAAAATACTTAGAACATACCCAGCCACCATGCTGATGTGAAACATGCAGTTAATAAGCACAGGCAGTTTAGATGGGTGAGAGAGAAAGAAGGGAGCAGAGTACAGACAAAGAGAGAGTGAGGAAGACTACTAAGGAGGCATTTAGGATTTTTTAGTTTAGGAGCTCAAGAAAACATCCATTTTTGGAAAGTCAGCTTTGTAGAAGAGAAAGAACAAGACAGAAAACAATGAGGACAGGGCATGAGAGACTAGAGCAGATCCAAGCAAGGTTAAGTGATAATGACTAGGGGTATGCAGAAGGGAACAAGCTGCAAGAGATTAGTAAGGGAGAGAGCCAACTAGCATTCACACAGCTCTAAGTATTGGCAGACTGCTTGAGGATGCAGGCCTGTGACTGGTTGCCATTTGCATTAGTTGCTTTCATGCTGCTGAGACCAAAGCATCTGACAGAGACAACTTAAGGGAGGAAAGATTGGTCTTAGTTCATTGTTTCAGGGTGTTTCCATCTGTCCCAGAGGGGAAGGCATGGTATCACGAATCACATTTCAGTGAACTAACCAGGAAGCAGAGAAAGGCTGGAGCAGGGAGCAGGCTATAACTGCTACAAGGCTATCCCAAGAATCTACTCTGTCAGAGAGGCCCTACCTCCGCAAGGCCCTACCAGCCGGTGAAAAGGCATTCAGAACATGAGCCTGTGGCGGACACTTCAGAGTCAAAATACACAATGCTGCTCACTGCTGCTCACTACTTAAGCCTAACAGCTTAAGAGCCTTACTAAAATTGTCACTAACAAATTCTGCACATGGCCTTTGCAAAGGGGCCTGGAAAGCTACTTCTCAGTGGCCTCATTTCACCTCAATACAACACCAAACAGCTTGCCACTGAGGCATTTCAGGGAAAGCAATACCTCTGAGAAATGTGGAAGGTTGGAAGAACATGTCTTCAAACCTGTGTTTCTAAACTTAGGATAAAAGCCTTACCCTACCATACTCCATGAGATCAAAGTCCCTTTTGTAATAAAAATTTAAAAAAAGGTGATATCTATGATTTTTTTAGCCTTAATACATTTGTTCATTCTGAATTCTTTCTTCCCTTTCTTAAGTGCATGGACTACTATCACAAATTAACACAACAAAGCACATTAAAAAAAAAAGAAAAGAAATAGGAAAAACCAGCTCTGTCTCTGTTCTGATTTGCTAACTTAATTAGCTGAGGGGACAGCAGTCATGCTTTCTCTGGCACAGACTCCGCAGTGGGAAACAGGTCAGGCTGGTATAGCTGATCTCCCAGATCTGACCCCATGGTTTGTGATGATGACCTTTCTCTTCCCTCAAAGAAATGAAAATTAAAACTGACAGGAAGTAATTGCAGCATTACAATACATCTAAAGGGAACTTTTCCACAGCACAGCATTTCCATTGTGATTTTTCTCAGGACATAAACAGCCTAAGGACTAGGAATATATTGAGTTCATATCCTTCATGGAACTGGAAAGAGGCAGCATGTCAGCTAGGCTGGGCAAGAGGGGCTTTCTTCAGTTTTGCCTGTGAATAAACAGACCCCACCCAGGCTCACACAATTCACAGTAGACATTGGCTATCTACATTTTAGAGAGGACAGAACCACAGCTCAGAGAGGCCAAATAATCTGAGGAACATGCTAAGGAGATTGGGCAGGAAAGGCTGGAGAGAACATGATACCCCAGAGGTCCAGGGAAGACAGGGAACAGAAGGAGTCAAACATTGCAGGGAGACTAAGACAAGAACTAAACAGTGTCCTTTGCATTTAGCAATATCAAGCAATTTCCCTATGTTCTTACATTTCTGTTGCCCTCACCCACATGGTGGTATAGAGGCAGGAAGTCATATGAAATCTCACACAAAGAGCTGGATTTAAATTCTGACACTACTGTTTCCTATTCATAAGAACTTGGGCAGGACTCACAGCCTCTCTGCCACTTAGTTTCCTCACCTGGAAAACGTAATGGAGAATATCTAAGAAGAAAGTATGCATAAAGTTCAGTAGCAAACAGTTTGTGTTCAATAAATGCTAAGCTCAACCCTAACCAGGTGCCAATTTTAATCTGCAAATGCTGTCATGTCTCTTCACTATGAAAGACACAGGGCGAAGTGATGGTAATCAGGATCAATTGTTAAAAGTAATTAGCGAATTGTTCAAACTATGAAAGCAGGCTGGGGATATAATTCAGTACTTGCCTCGCTTGTGCAAGGTCCTGTGTACAATGCTTAGTATGACGACAACTCTGTGTGTCTGTAAGCATCATTAGTTATACTTAAACTAGCACTATTTTTGAAGACCATTAAAAACTTAGGAATATAGTAATAAAAAATATGAACATATGAGTTCAGGCATTTAAAATTTAAAGAAAATTCTGGAGGCTAGTTAACCAAGTTGATATCTGTGTTGTACCTTTTCTTTCTATTTTCACTCCCCAACTTCAATGTGAGCTCAGCATTAGAAACTGTCTTAAACTTCTTTCTGTCCCTCGCAGTACATACTCCATCTCTAAGACATACAGAAACCCTCAGTGAAAGCACACTCCACAAAGCAGCCGGTCCATTACCTTCAGGTCCCGGTGGATAATAGGAGTTTTGCACTGATGCAGGCGGGCAACAGCCTCGCAAGTGTCACAGAATATCTGCAGAACTTCATTCTCTGTAAAGCCTGTCTGGAGACGCTGGTTCATCAGGTTTACCACCTGGCCTCCTGGGACAGGACAGAGCAAGGAAAAGGTTATTTAACAGGCAGATTTGTTACTTTGATCAAGGCTCCAACAGCTGTCCAGACAAAAGCTGATCACTGGCCAAGCCATCACTAAACCCCAGGTCTCCAGTCTCTGCTTGGGATTTGTTTTCTTACGACCCAGTGTCTCCTCTGATGCATCAAACCCAGATTATTTAAGTACACAGATGTGAGCTGCCCTCATTGTATCCTCAAGATTAAAAGCAGAACTGACATCACAGTCAGTTATTGCTGCCTGCTAGTCAGTCATGTCTCCATGGTGTAGGAGCTGAGTCCACAGGCTCTGCCATATCTTTCAGCAAGAATTAGACAGCACAACAGATGCAGGGAGCTGAAAGAAGATGGTACTGTGCCCATTCTGAAATCTTGAACTGTGAGGGAGCTCGGGCTCTCTGGCTTGGCCTGGGAAATGCTATAGCAACATTTTTCTCTCTGGTGACAAAAGACTGTTAACAAATCTTACAAAATTATCCAGACTTAAATCCTCCTATTGCCTGGCATCTAAAAAAAGAACAAAACACCTATGAAAAAAAAAAAAAGGAATGGTCAAAAGGGAATAAACTGTCAAGTTCAAATTTGGTGGCATTTTATAAAAACAGATCAATAGTCAACAAAGGCCAAAGTTAATATCACATTTACAGGATAAGAAACAATTTATGGACATCATCTTTAAAGTCAGAAAATGTTAGTGGGACTAAGGGCAATTACAAAACAGGGCAGCAAACACTAAGGCGATGACCCAAACTTAAACTGTCAGCTGCCTAGGCCAAAGGAGTCAAGTCTCCAAACAATGGGTGAATGGAATATTATCAACTCCCAACACATTTGTGCTACAGTCTGGATTTCTCGAGATAAATAGATGAACCTTCAAGCTTTCATCTATTTACAGTTGAAAGCAGGAGCACCTGAATGTAGCTTTACTGGATGTCACAGCCCTAGAGCAAGAAGAGGGTCACTTTCACAGACAAATAGGATTCTTTCACTCCATCACAGGGGGGCAGCAGTGTGAGTGGAGAGTGAACGGTAGGGAAGCTGCAGTTTCTGTAAGATCTAATTTGGGCTTTTATTATATTTATTTTATATTGTATGTTTGTTAAACCCTCATTTAAAAAAAAAACACATTCTTTCTTATTTTCATGTGGTCTCATTTATACACACAGCCAAATATTTCTATGCCTAGCGAAGGTAGGGTCTAGAATTACCTATTGCTTTCAATTCTTTGGACCATAGCCCTTGCAGTAATGAAAATAACCAAGAGCAGCAATGGACGGCATTAGCATTCCCATCCGTGAATCCAGAACATTATCTTCAGGGTGCAATGGATAGTAAGTGCAACGATCCCCATGTCCTTGATCACTAAAGTGCCAGAAGCAAGAGCTTCAGGATGGTCAACACAAACCTCTGCAGAAGTCCATGAGAATGAGAACTTCCCATACGTCGCCACTGCTCACATTGTTGATACTAGAGTCAATGTAGCCCACGATGTTCTTGTGCCCTGATAGGTCCCTCTGTGAACAAAAGTGGAGAAGTACATAGTCAGTTATAGACACACAGCAGAGGAAGAATTAACTAGTTGGTTCCATCAGCACAGACAATGTAACACAGAGACAACACCAATAGCATGGAAAAGGGAGAGTGATAGTTTCCAGTGGTCTCTGGGAAACCAAGTCGGATCTCCAACAGCAATTCCACGGTCCGACTAAAGCCCAGTACTCTCCAGAGCGAGGACCCACACAGAACACCCACTTGCTCACTGCGCTAGTGCTCCACCTAAATCAGACGCACGGACCCCTATAACATCCAGAAATACCGCAGAGGAGAAAAACCAACAACTACTTATGCATGGAAACGTTTAATATATCCTGTTTATGGGGAAAAAACTGAATTCAGCTTGAATTTTACTGTTGTGTGTGTTTGTGTGGGAGGACAGGGTGTAGAAGATTTACTATCTGCAGCATTTAACAGAGCAATGTCTGCCTTGAACAAAGGAATCATGAGGCTTTAGTTGGGTAGCCTGCACAGATTCATAAAGGAAAGAGGGTACATTTCTGAACATGCTCCAACTTGACTTTTAACAGTTTCCCTTTAGGAAATATATGAAAAGAAAAACTGCTTTGCCAGCTTTGAAGAGACTATGATAGCAACTAGACCCAACGTTTCACTCATAATTAAGCCTTTCCAGATGGCCAACCGGGATAGAAGGTGTAGCACCAGCTGAACCGCTTATCAGCTCTCAGGGCTGCTGCTCATGGGATCACATCACTCCAACAGGTTCCTACTTGGCACCACCCAGGCACTGGAAATACCCTCACACCTCGGTCCACAGAGCAGATATCTACGGTGATGATGTTAAAACAGATAGTCCACACTGCAGATGCTGCTGCTGCTGCTGCTGCTGCTGCTGCTGCTGAAAGTTAAGGTCATTAAAAACTAAGTTGGGGAAAGAAAACATGAGGAAACTGGAATTATGATTTTTATACAAATGTAAAGTAAAATTAAGATTTGTAAATTAATTGTACTACATTATTTTACTTTTGTTTTAAAGACGTAGGGGCAGGTGTAGAAAAATACATGGTTCTATGAGTTTTTGTCTCAAGCTTATGAGTGTGTTTGACTCACTGGAGCGGTCCAGTGAGAGAGTGAAATTGCTCCTGGAAAGCTGGCTCAGCTTCTCAAAGTTCATGGAAAAACTGCTCTTGATTACCCTAAGGGCAACTTCCAATGCTCAAAATATCAAAGTTATCACAAGAAGCACGCTCAAAGTATCAGGTAAACACTTTAACATCAACAGTAAAGCTCACTGCGCTTCTTCTGCATAGTGCAGTAAAAGGCACTGCTGACACAGAATAGCAGACCCCAGGAAAAACAGACAGTGGTAGATACATGCCCATGGGAAACTTCTGGAGACTTATGTGTGAAAAATTTTGGAGAAGAGATGGGATGAGAATAGATTGAGTTGAGCAGTGTCTGTGGATTCCTCTCTCACATCTGTGTAAAGAAGGGGCTGCCTCAGAGGAAGAACTGCCAGGAGTTATGGTTCTCAATCTTCATAAGCTGTGACTCTTTAATACAGTTCTTCATGTTGTGGTGACCCCAACCGTAAAATTATTTTTGTTACTACTTTGTCTGCTACTGTTATGAGTTATAATGTAAATATCTGTGTTTTCTGATGGTCTTAGGGGACCTCTGTGAAAGGGTCATTCAACTTCCAAAGGGGTCATGACCCACAGGTTGAGAATCACTGTGCTAAGGGGAGGATTACAGAGTGAGGTATTTCCTGCAAAGGTGAGGGGAGGGCAAAGGTAGTGGCTGTACACTGCACTAACGATGAAGAAAAAGGGAATTCAAGCGGGTTCAGAGCTATGCTTCTGGCATACAACAAAGTCATCTTTAAAACGGGATGAGAAAGAAACCTGACGAGGCAAAAACCTCAGTGCACCTGCCATGGGCCACAGGTCAGAGAGAGATAAAGAGGCTGAAAGGCAGTCTCCAGAGCTCAAGCTTTATAACACAGAAAGCATTCCAACCCTACCTTTCTTCCTACTTTTCAATCTTATTATGGACCTCTCTTTTTATTCACACAGTCCAAAAGTAGGAAGAACTGCAGGGAAACTTCTTTTTAAAATTATATATATATATGAGAGAGAGAGGGGGGGGAAGCATACACACACACACACACACACACACACACACACACACACACACACACAC